TATTTTCTGCGAATTCGCCTTATTTTTCTAAGAAACACATCGTCACAGCTTGGAAAGTTGCCTGATTGGCAAATTAATTGTTTTCCCGGTGTGCCTACAATGGAGGTGTCTATTTCGACGACGACTAGCCGGCGACGTTATAATTGCAACAGGAATGGCGCCTCTACACCCACATATATACATGCGTATACATACGTTGCCGTACAATGCAACTGTGCCAAAATACACTGTAGCTGCCAGCCAATTGGATAAATAAACTTTCGTGTCAACACTAGCACGTTTTTTTTTTAACGAATACGATTTTGAGTATATCTGTAGAAAATAAATTAAAATAATATTTCCAGATAACTTCAACACATAGGAATAAAAAATAGTTACAACGTAATGATTTGATCGATCATCTTTTTAAAGATAAATCATGTACCTTTTATATTTTCATTAAAAATAAATATTAAGAAATCTATTACTAGATATCGATATTTTCCAAAAGATATATTTTTAACAAATGCGTACGATTTTTGGCCACTACTGCAGTATCTTCTACATCAAGGTTGGTAGTTTCAAAGATTATCTCACGAATTATTCGTTTTAATGACGAATCTTTCAAGAAAATTCTGAATTTAACGAACATAACAAACAAGTATTGTTTTAAAGTTACAGGCTTCTCATTTAGATTTCGTTGTTGCTAAGTTTATTCTTGAGTTTTTTGTAAATATCTTAATCATCCATGAAATCATATGAGAACAAATAGTCAATATATGCACTAAGAATCCGCAGAAAATAACTTTGCATTCGTATCATTCAACTACTCGCGAGAAGTATTTTCTCATTGCTAAATTTTCAACTCAATTGATTTGAGTAACAGCCTCATAAATGTTGAAAAATTCGATTGAAAAGTTTTAGACTTAATGATTTGAAAAGACAAAATTTTACCGATTAAAGTTGTTGCACGTATTTTTGAATATATATGTAATAATTACGTGTTTTTTTCAATAAAGAGCTTGAAAATGTCGCCAGATAATAACTAACGAATAGCAGACATAGCGAAGACTATTTACTTGTTTTTCTTCCATCAGAAAAATTTTTCCCTCTCCGATCGATAAAACAATTCTTCGATCAACTTCTGTAACATTTATTTTCTAATTATTTTTTTCTAATTTGATACAAGTAAATTGTCAATACAGCAGTGTTCATGAAGTATATGTAACAAGGAAAGATTAATCATTACTTTGAATTTATGATATAAGCTAGCGAATATTTCAGTGTCAGAGTAAAATATAACATGCTGTTAATTTTTAATTTTCCGGCAAATCGCTACGTCATGTGACTAAGTGTAAGGAATGTAATGCTGAAGGATTAATAGATAGAAAAGAATAACGAGCAAACATTGTTAATAATAGTATTACTATAAGAAAGTCATGTACCACACGAGATCTACCTATTGAAAAGTCTTGGTACGACCTTAAACTCACAATGTACACATCCGCCAATTTACGCTGCTCGTAAAATCCATTTGCGTATCTCGCGGCTGCATCATCGCGAGTGAATACACGCGAGCTCGCAACGTTACTCATCTGATCGACATCCCCCTGCCTGCCCACCTCCCTCCCACATTTACAATAGCCAAGTTTAAGTAAACTGTTTTTTCGAAAAGTTATGCGGCTGCGTTTACGGTTCTAGAATTAACGTACGCTCGGCTAAGAATAACGTACAGGCGCTAAAGCATATATATCGTCTAAAAATGCAATGCGCCCTTATTCATAGTCGAAGTGCATCGTCCCGAATACCTGTCTCAAAATATTACGAAATGCCCGACAACATGTTATAGACAGTCACGTTCATCTTTCCATGACAATTGCGAGTAAGACACGTGCAGGGCTGTGCAGAATGTATGGCTCATCCGAATAAGTGTGGTCCTTTAATTTCTGTACAAAGCTTGTCTTTGTAACATTATGACGCAGTCATGCACTATTTACGCTAACTGTGACTACTTATAGTGAATTGCCATTGGCGCTGTGTTACGTTCTCAATCGTTACCTTCCGAAAACGCGGTCTTGCAAGTTTATGCTTGATATTCCTGGTTCATCAACGCAGTCTAAACTAAACTAAAGAAAAGTCGTGTCGTTATCGTAAAATTCAAAAAAATAGCATGAAAATAAGTGCAAGAAAAAATAAATGAAAGAACGATTGTGGATTCGTATAAGAAAAAATTCACGCGACAACCTAACAATAACCACTAAGGGATAAATGTTGCAAACGTTCATAGATCATAACCAATAATTATACAATTAGACGAGGCGCAGATGTCAATTGGCCAACACACGCATACAAGCGTACCTCGTCGATACAGTTACGGCTGTTTTTAGCATCATAATAATATTGAGAACGCGTGTTTACAATTTTTCATCGTGCAAAGTCCGTCGCACTATAGAGGATCAGTGTGCGACTTTGGCGAGAACCCCAGCCATCGTTGTGAAAATTTGGTCGAACGCCATATCCATCCAAGTAGCAAATCGCACTTTGTCTAAATGACTCGTTATACTATATACGAAGAACAAAGAATTACGAGATTGCGATGAAAGAATCGACTTCCTTCCTTATACGACATCCGCGCGCGGAGCTGATGTGCGATTGTACGCAGTTCCGCAGGCCGAAGTCGGTTTGACGATAAGACAGTCAGTGAGAGAAAGCAAAAAAGGTCAGAGGAAGTGCGCAATGTGTCTGTGAATATACATGTATAGACGGTATCGGCTCGTAAATCAATTGTCACCGTGAAAGAGAAGCAGCCGAAGGACACGGCAAGGGGAGCGCGACTGAAAAGCATCGCACCGGTCGACCTTGAAGGACCCAGCGCAATATAATTAGCGATCGACTTAGCCGATGGGCCATGCGAACTACGTCGTGGATAATTTCTTTGCGTAGCTTGTCTGCGATTCTTAAAAAAGTTTAATTTGATTTGACGCGTCATAATAATATTATACGAGCGCGCACATGAATTTAATACATACTAGTCTCGTTCACGACCTCTGCAATAATCAACGATATTGTCTTGATAGTTGTATGTGCGCAATATTGTCGGGTCACTAACGAGTTAGCTTGTTCGCGCGGAGAAACTTTGAAAGCTCGATGCATGTGCGTATAAGGGGTTGTGTTGAGACTTGAACCAACGCGAAAAACAAATTTTTTTACACAAACAAAAAGAGCAAAAATCGAGTAGTTGAACGTCCAAATTTACATGAATGTCATCTTTTTTTAACCGTACCGAAGGCTCCATTTGAAAACAGAAAACAAATTATTCGCCGGGATCCATTCACTGCGCGTCCTCAGAAATCGTCGTCGCGGCGATTCACCAAGTTTGCACTTGACGGCAACGACGACGCATCGCTTTCGCACGGACGTTCTATTTTTAAAAGCGAGCGCGCAGTCGCGCTCTGCATTTTCGCGCTAATAAGTCGCGCGCGCGCAACGTGGAAATTTCCATTCGCGAAAAGTCATTGGCGTAACGACCGCGCGCCACGCTATCATTTGCTCTCTCACAGGACATTTGTTTGCTGCATTTTTCGCATTGCTCGTGCTTATCGCGTCGTACGTGTTGGAGAAAAGTCACGCGTCGATCGATTGCCAATGAAGCAAATTAGAAAAAGAAAAGAGCGCGGCCGTAATCAGCCGACTGGGCGTGTGCGAATATTACGTTTGCCATGCGTATACGCTGATCAAATTAATCCAGCCGGAAGTGGCGTTTTCAAATTGACACGAGCAGAGTGTCTTGATATTGATGCTGTCTACAGTTCAATTATTTCAAGCGTAAACCATTCTGTTTCACACGAGAAAAATACTTTGAAGCAGCTTATCGCAGCGACGCTTCGTAATTATCGGCATGTAAGCATTTCAAACGCGCATGTTAATTAATTAAAGTCACTCGTAACAGAGAAAAAGGGCGGCCCCTCGTCGCATCTGTTCTACACAACACTGAATAAACGTTGGGATAATAATCGTTGAGTTCCTCGAAGATTCGCAGACAATCCAATTTGAATAATCGCCCGACGCCGACGATTGCACAACGGTTGAAAAATCGGCGACAGCGCCGAGATCCGGTCGGGCGTAAGGGAAAGAAAATTATTAATGCAGTCGTTGGGCGTTCAATTTTCGGATGATGAACATTCAAGCTTAAGAACACGATGCTGGAACACAAGAACATTCCAAGACGGCGGTAAAAATGAACGGGCCACTCCTCGCATCGAGCGCGGTTAGTGCACTTGGAACATTTAACTGTACACGCGCGCGCATACGCCAATCGATGCGCGACGCGTGTCCTGCATGCCATTCCGCTTGCGCGAACTTTGCCTTATTCGCACTAGGAACGTTACAGTGGACTACTTTTATTTGCGCCAGAAAGTTCGCCTCTGCGACAGACATCGTGTGACGTGTTGATAACGATTGCTTTTGTCAATCGCTAGTGCAGTAAGCCATTCAAATGTCGTGTACTTAGCGAGTCCCAGATAAAGTTTTAAATTCATTTCTGCCGTGTCTCAAATCTCAATTTATTGCGCGTTGCCCGTCAATTGCACAATTTATCCCGTTATTTTTTGACATTCATTTGAACAAACATTCTCGATTCTAAGAACTTCGTACCGACTTACCTTAGTTACCTGATTATCGAACCACTGATAGCTGCAAACGTATCTCCCATTGCCGATTCTGACAGAAAGCTGTATTCATTTTTTATTTATTTTTAAATAAGGTTGATAAGTTACGGTAAAAAACATTGCAATTTAGATAAAGATTTTAAGGTGTATAAATAAAATGACATTATTTTATGTAACTCGAAAGAAGTTAATCGCGAATTATTTACTGAGATTTTAAGCATGAAAAATATCACAAATACATTTGCTATGAGATTGATAATAACTGATGGGACAGGAAAATTGATTGACGAACAGGAAGCAGATGATGAGGAGAAAGGAAAAGTGTTTTTGTGTTGACGTAAAAAAACAAGATAATTACGTAAAGATCGAAACTCATTTATTGAACGTGACACAAAAATTGCGATACATATATATCACAATCTCGAACCGTTGTTGAAGAGAGAACATCGCTGGGTTTCCCGCCAGATATATCTTCGTCTCTTGTCCTGATATCTCGTTCGGTCAACTTTTATTATTATTTTTTGTTCATTTTGTTGTTGTAAATCTTTTCATTCAATCGATCTTATAACCTCGGGTGTAATATTTTTTTCGTGCTTATGTGATATATCAAACGCTAACAATTTACTCAATACGTATCCTACACTTAATACATGGAATGTGCTCGGCTCGCGTCGCTCGTCTCGTTTTCGACCCGACGAAAAAAAAAACAACGAATAAAAAATTACCGGTTACGCAAAGACGAAAATTGCGACAGTCGTCAATGCGCATCCGGAAAGAAGCAAGAGTTCGCGTGTGCACGCAAGACAATTTGCACAATCTAAATAGTAGCACAATCTGCTTGCCTTCAAGAAACAACTAAGCTTCTCGGCAAAGACCTCGTCACCAAGTTTCTACGTCGCAGAGAAAAAATATATATGTACGTATACCTGCAAAACAACCGATTCGGACAATATAAATCGATCGTATTAATTGAGATTACACACTGCGACTTGAATAAAAAATATTTTAACGAAGAAAGAAAATGTTGCGAGCGTGAACGAGCGACGCGACGTACATTACAACTCACCTAACTAAACTGATTGAAAAAAAAAAAAAAAGAAGAAACGAAGTTAATAACTAAATAAATGAGTAGCTATCGTACAAAAATGACGCCTCTGTAACGGAGCACACGTATACTAAGGTCCTTCAGAACTTTTTGGCAGTGATATTCAAACACCATGAATGAAGAGAAACCGGCTTTAATTGTTCTCGGATGGGATGTTAGGCTCGAAAAGATAGTGCGGTTTAAAAGTAATATATCCGTCCAGAATGGATTCAGTCACATTGGCAGTTTTTTTTCTTGTTTTGTAGGTGCATAAGCGCAAAATTTATCATTATTATCATTATTATTATTCGATGTTAAGTGACCAATGGATGCCTTGTTTTAGATTCTTTTCTAATGTGCCCATTGATTTTTTCGTATCGTAGCTGCGTGCTTCTCTTCATCCATGCTCTTGTAAAAATCAACAATCGAAAAGTCCGGAAAATGATATCAAATGATAAGTGTAATGATGGTGTTTTGAGTCGCTAATCATAAGAATAGTATCGATGGCCATATAAAAGATATATAATCAACTCGCATTATTTGTTATTTATTAATAAATTAAGGAACGCAATCGTGCGATCGTAGATTGCGGAATGGAAGAGGGAGAAATTGACAGTTTTTCCGTAATTTTATTTCTGAAAGGAAGTCTTCGTTTCATTCGCACTTGCGTGGTTTACTTACGCGTACAGTGAGTTAGTTTTATCGCTGCTGTATAGAACCGATTGCAAGGCCCGACATAGCGCGGTGAAACAATGGAAACTCACTGGAGGCCAATTGTTTTCTTTTTTTCTTCTCATTTACAGTGACAATAGAGGAAGCTTCTGCAGCTGTAATTTCTCTTATTGCGCAATCTACGATCGTCGTTTACTTTCTTTCTTTTTCTCGCTCTCGTTCTCTCTTTTTTATTTGCAATAAATAAATAGTATATCTCTGCTTTCTCTCTCTCTCTCTCTCTCTCTCTCTCTCTCTCTCTCTCTCACTCTCTTTCTTACAGTATCTGTCAGCCGAAACCGCCTTAATCGCTAGGTAAAGCGGCTGTCTAATCAGTACAAATTGTACGACGAGATTATACGGAGTTGAAATGATTTCCCACAGGAGAAATTCGAGCGGTTCCCAACTAGGTTAATAAAAGCTTTTAAAAAACGTTTGAACACATTTAATCTGCCGTACACAGGTAGGTCGAGTCTTTTCATCGTTATAGAAGAAAAACATGTATTTAAGCAAATGACCAAAAAGGAAAATCTAACTTCGGGCAGTTGACCGGAGAACTGTTGAAGGAACTCAAACTCACTGCTTTCTCCAGCGTTAAAATCGTCAACCCCTCTAACTTGAACCCGCAATACCTCGCCCGAGCACCAACCGTATATATCATAGATACAGCTTATACGTATATATCTATATCATTTCATCGCCGATAATGATACACATACTCATCTCAATCTTCTTCGTTTTAAAGCAGTCTTATTACGTAATAAAGCCAACGCGCTCTTCAAAGGGCGCTAAATGTTTTTTTCATTGTATAATACATTACTCTTTCTATATAGTATTCGCTCGAACAACTTGGATTATAACTTGCCAATAATTATTAAAATTTGATCTCTCAATCTCTCTCCGCTTATAATGATACACGAACTAGAAGTTTACTCTAAATCGCTTAAGCTATAGAAGCTTGAAAGACGCACGTTCAGAGGAATCTTTCTATGTCAGTTTTCTTTTTCTTCTTCTACATAGGTATAGGACTTTTTTTTTAAATAATCATTAATAATCCAATTCCGAATGAGAGTATTACAAGCGTTATATATCACCGTGTTTTACTTTGATAAGTATATTCAATGCGTCGCTACCCTCTATAAGGTGAAACTTCGAAAAATGTCCAAAAATTAGGAAAACCAATCGTTTCTACTTGCTTGTTTCGAATACCTTAAATTTTTTCCCGTTCAATTTGGAGCATCAAATCGTAGCATTAAAGATTCTTTATTAGATTAAGCGTTACTATCACATTTCCAATAATCGAGAACAATGTCGTCAGGTTTGCAAAGCTCTTACGTGTGGATTTCAAGATAGCCAGTTGGTAATTTGGTCCAAGTTTTTTATTTATTTATTTTTCGACTCGGAAAGGGAGCTTTTCACGGAAACCACAACGACGATGATTCTCGGCTTAGCGCGCATATATCTATATCTCACTTGTTCACATTATTCATCATTTTTTTAATCATTCCGTATTCAAACGTTGCAAAATAAATCTATCTTATAACGTACGGTATCACAGAGTTATACACGCGGTATACATACATAAATGTATATCGTTTTATACGTTGCGCTCAAGAATCGCGAGGACTTAATTATTCATTTAATCATTTTTTTTGTCATTATATATCCATTTTTTTTCCTGTTTTTTAGTTTTTTTTTCTTTTCATTTTTGTTTTTGACATGTATATTTTGCATCATTGTTTGTACGTTTATGAATAATTTTTTACCGACAAAACAAAGTGAATTCGGAAGCCAGCGAGGACGCAGGCGGTGAGTCGCAAAGAGCTTATCATATACATTCGCACGTCGATTTTCCTCTGTAAAAAAACAAAAAAATAGATTTGACGTTCAAGGTCGCTTCGCAATCAGTGTGCTTGCGAATTGAGCGAGCTGGAAAAAAAGTTTAAAAGATTGCACAGTTAAGTTACATTCGGCGAACCGTCGAACTCGACGCCCATTAGCCGACGATCTTATTTTCTTCGGCCTTTTTGCCAACAACAAGAACAATGCCGAGACAAAAGACTTGCTGAAACATCATGGCCAGAATATACGTCGAGATCGATAAGGTTCGCCTTGATTAATCAAGAAAATTTTAATCATCATTTTTCAAAAACAAATTCAAATTTTTCAGAAATAAACTAAGTTATTCTTTGATCAAAGTATTAAAAGTCAAGGAGATGTTAAAGCTCGATCGTTACCGATCGATTGATAGAATCGCAAGAGCCTCGTCGAAATCGCTACATTTGCCGCGAAAGTACCAAACACCCCGTCATCTCGCTGCGTTCGCAAAGTTCGGAGCAGAATACGCGATAAGCATTCCGAAAGTTGGCGAACGCACGTGGCTGAAGAAGCGTTTTTAAGCTGTCGCAAGAAACACGCAAGAGCAACGGACTTTGCAACTTACTACTCAATAGGCAAAGATCGAGGCTTTCCCTTCTCCTCGACATCGGTATTCATCATATTTTTGCTGAGAAATTGACCTTGAAGCTTGCCAAAGCGGAACGTCAAAGCGGAACAAATGCAAACAGACCCTGAGCTTGTTTAACCATGGGGCTTGTTCGTTTTTGAGCGCATACGAGAAGATATATAAGTACCGGACGATCTCGGAACGATAATATAAATATATTATATTATTTGGAAAACGACCTCGTGCTTCGAAGCGAAAGCAGGATGGACGAATTCGGAGCATCAGAACGAACGAGATCGAACAGTTTTCGCGCATCTAACACATATATTCGTTGCGCATTTATCAATTGATGCATCAGCCATTGACGAGAGAATCAAATCGATTCTCCGTGTGCAATTCCACTTCAAGATTTAGCCGGTCATTTACTGAGACGATCGATAGATTATCGCAAGCTCAACTACTCTGCGCGTATGTCAATGCTTGATGCAACAGAAGATCATCATCGCCCATCGTCGAAACATTTCTAGCTCGTGCAGATACGAAAAAGGTAAACGGAAAATCGACAGTGGTGCGATCGAGAGAGTGACTTTATCGGTATTATGGCGATTGTGCCGTCGGTATATATCCCCATTTTTGCATTCTGCTACGCATTACTTTGCGCTCGGGAAGCTGCCGCCTCTCTTGCCAAAACGATCACGGTTTTACCAGGAACGCGTGGCGTGGCGTTTTAAATCGTCGCTCTTTTACATGTATGTATAGGTCCACGTGCATCATGCGTAACGTCATGATTGATCTGTGTTGTTTGTTTTAATCTTTCGAAAAAAGAGGCAAGTTCCCTCGCGCATTTTAGTGTCCGGAAAACGACTGCGCGATATATACATGTCCTAAGTACGATCAAAGATTCATCCGCGTACGTGTATTACCGTTTTTTATTTATTATGATAGGCTTTCGTTGGATAAAGATCGCGCAACTTCTAATTTTCGAAACTTGACTTTTTTAATCCTTCGAAATTAATATTGTTTCCACACTCGCGTCCTTTTTCTTTTTCTTATTTTTCTTTATCTGTAACAGCGCTCGCGCGATCTTAACAGCTAATAAAGAACGAACAATTTCGAAAAAAAAAAGAGGAGAAAAGCGGTCGACTCGGAACGTTCTTTCAAAATTAGAAGAAAAAGATAGTAGGCAAGCGACATCCGTGCTGAACTGTGAGAAATCAAATCCTCCCTAAACTAATAACGATTTGTAGCTTCATTTCCGATCGCTTCGAAACGCTACAACCAACGTTGCTTTTTTTTTCAAATTCATCGACATTGGTCTGCCCGATGCTTCAATGTTTGCCAATTTTGTTGTTCAAACGACAACTTGGTATTTTACAAATGCCATACAATCAGCATTGTTGGTATAGGTTTCGAAACAATCGAAGATGTTTTTATGTTTTTTTTTTTTGCATTTTCGTTTTTCATCTTTTCCTCGTCGTATCAAAGACCAAACATGCTCGTCAGCAGCGACCTCAGATACAAAACGGCATCACATTCGTGTTTGTTGGATGGTTTCCTAAGTATCTTATCGGACAAATAAGTACGCTCAGCAATGATAACTATTCGTTTAAGTATATGACGACTACTCGTAAGTTGTTTATACATAAGGGTATTCTCTTGTTTCCAGAGTGTGTAGAATTATCTGATATAACATTGAACGCTATTAAAAGTGTGTCACTAGAGTTGCTTGCCGATTGCTGAATTGGCCGCTGCTGACGAGGCAGGTCGTGTGTGTTTACGCGACAGAGCGTGTGTGAGTGTGAGTGGGCGTGCGTGTACGTGTGTGTGTGTGTGTGTGTGTGTGTATGTGGTGTTTGTATGCATGATGCCGAAGGGCCCCGGCCTGAGTTGTCCGCGCGCGCGCGAGTCGCGATCGCGAATTGGTGGTGGTTTTCATTATCATTGGGGCAGATCATCAAGATTCTCCTCGTCAATCTTCTTTGCTTGCTTGCTTGGTAGAATTGTCCATCAGAGTAGTAGAATTGTAGAAGGAAGCATCATTTTGTTTTGTGATTGAGTGTTACCTTTCTATGGATCCGCAAAGAGGATGCTGCTGGTGGAGACTGAGAGTAGCGAGTAGCGGCGCCTCCGAATGGGCCATTGATAGCAGCAGCCGTAATATCAGGAGGCGGACGAGTCACGAGCAACGTCATCGTCCGACGACGAGAAAGTTGCTCGGCTGTTGTTGCTTGTGCTGCTGCTGTTGCTGCTGCTGGCGTGCTGCTGGTTGTTGGCGCCAGCAGCCGCAACCAGCGAAGTAGTGGTCGGCTGCGGCGCCGAGGTGCGCCTTACCTCGCTGCACGGTTTCGAGCCGTAGGGGGGCGGTCGGCCCAAAACCCCCTGACTGTTTCACGACAGGTTGCGCTGGTCGTCGCAAGCGCTGTCCTCGGCTCGTCGCAGCGAGCGCTTCAGCTTGTCCACCAGACGGTTGTGAAATTTGTTTAGGCTCGACGAGCTGCCGGTTTTTGGCGGCGACGAGCCGGTGCTTTTGCTGGGCGATTGCAGGGAGCTCTGGGATGCTCGCGAGGACGTGCGCGAGAAGTGGCGCGTGCTCACCGGCACCGAGCGATGCGCCGGCGAGGTCAGAAAATCCGAGCCTGGGGACGTCGACAACGACGGGCCCTCCGATTTCGAGCACTCCGAGACCTGCAACACAATCAACAGACGAGAAATCCCCATTAAAACCAAATATATCCACGCGATACAATGTGCCGGGCTACTTTCTCTTTCACCGCGCCAAGTCTTGCGCCCTTACTCTACCGAATGAATGGCGAAGCCGCGATCTACCTCCTCTTATCGTCTTTTATTTGGCTTGACATCCCAGTGAGACAAAGCCAAGTGGGCGTATCGGGTAACTCATCGACCTTCGAGTCGCACAGGGAGAGCATCGCGGGGTATCCTGCCATCCCATATCAGGATCGAATGAGTAAAAGCCGTTTACATCCTCGACGTGCACGCCAAAATCGCGGTTCTATTAACGAACGATGTATCGATGGCACGCAAGTGTGACATTTGCATGGCGATTTATTCAACAACTAGAGGACGTAACTAACTCCCAAACGATTCGCTTACGAATGCATTAAACTTGATTAACTCGAACGGCGAGAGTTATCTCGATTGATTTGAACGCGAAAGTAACGATATCAGACTGCGGAAATCGATGATGCTCTCTTCTATGATTCATTCGGATAGATTTCCTTTTCTACGCTTGTTCCACTCATCGAGAACATCGAGAGATGAGCGACATGTATGAATGTTGTCGACACGCGACGCGCTGATCTGTATCAATTGATTATCGCCATTGACGAGCGTCGATATTTTGCCAGAAAATTCCAGATTTGAGCTTCCATTGAACATTCGATAATAATTTTCGAGCTTATCGCGACGTTTGATTTTAAGTCAGATCGTCGGATTGGCAAGACAACAGTGAGTCACAGCAGCGTTTATCATTCCGTGATTACCGAGTCAGACGCGTCCCTCGACCTTCCAAACAAACTGTTCTCGAAATAAAGCTCCAAAGGTCACTTTTTCAATTTCCCAAAGGCACATCGAGGAAAAGCCAGCGTGTAAACACACGGACGCGCAAAGCCCGTGTCGTCGTCGCGGAATCCAAATTTAAAAGAAATAATCCGCAGCACGCGCAGCTAAATATGGTGATCTAAATTTTGCACGCTAACGGAAGTCCATGCTTATGACGCGATCGACCAAAAAAATAGAGAGAAGCGAAAGTCGCACGACGCTGACGTGGGCACCTGTCGACGGAGGAGTGAAAGAGAAACGCCACAAGCAAGGTCGTTACGCACAATTTCCAATATTGTACGGGCGGGGTTTTTTTCTTTCGGAATATTCTATTAAAAACTTTTCGTGATAAATGGGGTTTTCCGTAAGAAAATACCAAAACTGAACGCACAATTCTAATTCTAGCTGTTATTACTATCGTCTTGACATTTATTATTCGTTGATTACCAGTCACTTCAAATTACAAATTGAAAATCAACGAGTTCAAATACTAATTATTATATGCCAATAGATTACACATTTTCAAACGCATAAAAGTGCCAGACATACGTATACGATTGATAAAGCTAGTTAATGCGTCTATTGCGAGGGGTTAATAGCTGGGTTAGCCTTCCAGAATATCGTAGCCTCGAGTGTGTATGTACATACAACAGATCGAACGTAAGCAAACATTAACCCTGACATTTTCAGGGTTTCTGCAGTCTTTCTCTCTTCGCTCCCTACTTTCTCGCCCAAACAACGCTCCCTTTTCACACCACCTAGACATTTCCAATGTTTGTTTACTACAACTCTTAATCACCGCGTCGATCATAAAATCCGCCTCGCTAACGTACTTTCTCATCGAGCCTAAGCTTGATACATTCTCCTCTTCGCGTTCAATTAGAGCTTCGTTAAATACGAGAGATAACGCTGACAGTGTAACAATGTTCGATCGATCCCCTTTTGTGGGCCACGCGCGCGAGCGAGGACGTTCTAAATTTGCATACCCGGGAATTAGCGCGCAAAAAGACGTCAGACAGGCGCACAAAAAGAAATTGACCATCTCCAGGCAATCTGTCGCCTCGCGAGACAAGGCTTGCCATTTTTTTGCTCGAACGCTCGATAACCCGACGACTTTTCAAGTTTTTGCGCAGTTTCGGCGAGAAACAGTTCTTCATACTACGGGGATAGAAAAGAAAGCTTCTATCGAGTGTGTTCTAGCGGTCGCAAAGCCTTTACTATATGCAAGTTGCTTTTCAAACATAATGGAAAGCATTGTTTGTAGTCGTACATACGTTTTACAATAAACTCTGTCGTCAAAATCACATTTCTCTGAAAATGAAATGCGAATATGTGTATTGAGTATAGCTGCATTTCCAAGGCAGGCCATATAATAAATAAAAAGAAATTTATAGGAGTCTCAAGGAGAAAAGCGAGCTCGACGATTGCAATTAACCCTCGTGTTAAAAGACAAAACATGCAGGCAGACGAACTCAGCAAGAAGACAAAGCTAAACAATCTTCGAGAAGTCACAACAATGCACGCAGACATGCGTCAATAAAACATAGCCGGCGGGGCAGCCAAGTCCTTGGGATCCGTTTTGTCGTATTTTTACGCGTCACAATTACGCGGAGCATGCAGCATGCAGCCTCGCGTACATAATCACATTTAGCGCGGAGCTACGGAACGGATAACAGAAAAAAGATATAAAACGACAGGCAAAAACGCGCGCCGTTATGTTGGGCAACGAAAGTTACGAGTTTTCGCGTTATTTTCAAGAGCACCGAGGCTCTCCTCGCGAACGTCGCAGAATTGTCAGCGGTACGCGTGTGTGGATCCACTTCGGTGGATCGCCGTGTATTTTTGAACGGTGCACAGAAACGCGTCGCGTATTTTCGGACGAGAGGCATCGCACGCCGGTGAACTCACCGGCGAACAATGTCGAGACGCGGGGAAACAACGGATCGAATCGCGAAGTAAGTGCGACCGACAAGTTGGCGCAGCATCGGCTAAGAGTCGCGTCGCACAGCGACAAAGTGCGAGGGAAGGCAAGAGTCGGAGAAAAATATTTAGCTAATTGGCGCAAGGCCGCGACGCGCACGCACAAAAGGAAACCGCACGAAAGAGCTGCGCGCGGCGTCTCTGGAATTCACGCACGCGCGTACGTGTTTTCTCAAAGTCGCACGCGCGCCAAACTTTCGCAGATCCGGACACGCGGCAAATTTTTATCTGGTGATACGTGCAGATTCGTACGTATACGCATAGAGTTGGCAGAGCTCGCGCACGGTCATTGCGGAATCGCGCCTGCGGATCTCCCGAAGTTACATTTAAAATTCTTTTCTGTTATCGCGCGATTAGATTGTCGGAAAAAGCAACGTGTCGGAGTGGCTTCTTTTTCTTTCCTATTGCAATTGCATTCGAAATCGACAGCGAGAGCAGCAAAAAGTGGCGAGGTTGGCTTTTTCCTTTTGTCTTTTTTTTTTCGTGCGTATATCGATTCGTTCTCAGAAACGCGCGTACATAACAATCAATGCCGCTTAACCGTATATTCCGCGATGCATCGGCGGAAAAACGATACTCCGTAAGTATAGTGCGAAAGGTAAATAATACTGAGACATAGATATGAACCACAGGCCACTGCCGACATCGTGAAACGAAACCGACCACGTGCGCCACCGCAGTCGACGTCATTATCGTATAAACTCGGCATTGACGCCCGCGCCGTGGTAACTCTTATCTCCCCCTCTCCCCCGGCCGCGTCTTTTTTGGACGTGCTTATTGCCCAGTTTTCTTGCGATAAAAAAAAAAAAAACACTTGCATATTGAAAAATACACATTTTTCTTTCAAGTTTCCGGCAAAAAATTTCTCGGAACGTCTCCTGTCGCATACAAATATACAACGGGTTATCAGATTTATCAGGGTACACGCATCCCCGTATTTTTTCCGACTAATGTTTGACGTTCACGCGCGAGATATTTATCAGCGTGTGTCAAGAAATTTCATCGTATCACGGTCAAACGCAACTTTATTTATAGATTTCGCAACGTCATTATCTTTAAAATTCGAATCGCGATTTCCGCGTTTCGTCATTTTTTACAACAAACTTTCTACGCGCCGGCCTACTGACGTGTCAAGTGATTCATATACCTCGTTATACCGTTAAAAGTCAGTCGAAACCATGAAGCGTATATTTGTCATCGAGACTTTCCAAGTCGTTTAATTTCTGGGACTGTCGAATTTACATTTTCACGCAATTAAATTTTTCAATTAGGTATCATGAAAGGTATCCGAGATATTTGCTAAAGAAAGAAAATCACGTCGCACGACTCCCGCAGGTCTCATTCAGACATGAAAACCATCACGTAGACAGTTACGACCGATTGCGCAATTAATTCCGAGAAGTACAGGCTGAAGAACCATAGCAACGAAAGAAATCCATCGTCCGAATTCTCATGAGAAGTAAACGTCTGGTCAATAATCAGTCGCGAATAACGTTTTCACCGCCTAATGCTTTCTATCCATGTTTGAGAAGCTGCACGGGGCGACAACGGCCTCGAGAGAAACCGAAAGATCGTTACACTTTAATCTATATATCCCGTCCGCACGAGAAAGAGAAACGTGCGAACCTATATAGTTGGTTGCGCGGGTTCGTCGAACGACCATTACGAAATCGCGCACAGCTCCCTCGTTTCCGACGAGCGCGCGCGTGCAACATGTGGCGTAACGAACGACAACACGCACGCACGCACGCGCGCACGCGCGCACGCGCACACCTGTAGCCGTGAATTTAAAAGCTCGCACGCGCTTATCGCCAATGCTGTTGATCTCGCATATACACACATGACGAGAGAAGTATAATTGTGGAGCAGCCATTCTAAAATTAGCTCTCGCAGAGGAGAAGCGTGTTGATTCTCGCGAGCGCGTGGGCCGACTTTTTGACATTCAAATGCGTGTGTGACTCAGTCACTCATAGCTAAAATACATACACTGATGGGTCATTATTATGATACCGTTCAAGCGATCGAGTGAGCTATATTTGTTTCGCGAGACCGTTCCTTTATTGTGTCTTTATATACATACATTTAAAGAGATAGTATTATCTTTCGACTTTGCTCCATCCGTCTAGACACATTATTGGTGTAACTGCAGTTTCTATAATTACAACAATACTTTCAACCAGTTGCCAATATCGCAATTTAATTTCAAATATTTCTATCAATTTTTTAATAATTCTTTCAACAAAAATCTATAGGCGTCCTCGCGTCAATAACTGATAACCCCACTGGCATTGCTACTTACGGCAGGGAAAAAGCAATAATCTTTCGTTATAGTGGCACAATCTACGAGTCGCCACTGTCTCATCGGGTGAACTTTTATTATGCTTACGCGCTCGTTCGTCTCGTCCTCTTTTCATACTCGACATTTTTTTCTTCTTTGCTCGCTAGTCATTCATCGTGCAACCGTTGCTTCACTTTCAGTCTGCTTGAAAATACGAAGGAGCAAACGTACGAGAGAATAAGGGAGAAACGTCTCGAGCGCACGCGAGAAATCGAGTGCGGTCTCGTGACGCGCAGTCGCAACTATACTCGTGCGTAAAGTGGTTCGCGCGCGTCACGCGCCCAATGCATATGTACCCACCACTTTCCATTGCGCTGACGCGCAATGAATTTGTCGCTCTCCTCTCGGCGTCAGTTTTAATGCCAATCAATTGACTCGGAGAGACGAAATTAGCGGTTCCGCGGTCGTCGCTATATCGCGAATGAGCGTTTGCCTAAAGGCCTTTCCGCTAGAATCTGATTCACCTATAGCACCCGGAAATCGCTTTGATAAACAATCGGCTTTTTATGTGTGCGATAAAAGGCAAACTCCGCAGAAGAATGGACATTGTTTATCTGTTTTTTCACGTTGTTGTTGACGTTCTCCAACGTTCAATTTAATCAGTAATTTGACGTGTCAACGCGATCATCACTGAAATGACTAATCAACTCGAGTGGTCATCTATTTTTAGTAACACTCTATTATTTCAAAATAACAAGTCATTATCTATCATCTTTGAATACATGAAGAGAGTCTCTTAAAGTTCACAAAAATATATTATTCCCGCGTTTACTATTTAGGTATTCTTATGCGCTTAATGAAAAACATTTACGAACAATATTAAGCCAAAGATCGAACCTATATGCATATATAAGTTAAATAAAACATTATTCTTCTCTGACAAATAATTGAATGAGTTATGCTCAAAAAACATGCATTGTAAGATCAGCTATTGTTGCAAATATATTCACGGCCAAGTGCACAAAAAGCCGCGTAATAAAGGCAGTTTGCTTCTGGACAGTGATATTGGTTCTCTTTTGTAGTAACTTCAAAAGTAACACACGATGCGCTCCTTGACGTCAAAAAGAATTGAAACTTATATCGGTTTACAAGTTGCAACGAATGAACTGATGCACAGATCAACCGACGTTCACTGTGCATGTGAAAGTCACACAAATTGATCTGCGGCGAAATGTATAGTCGCAGCGAAGCTCCGATTTTACTCAAAAATTTCAAGATTTGTACGAACCCAATGTAACTAGCACATCGCGAAATTAATTAAACATTGAAACGGACTGAAACTAAGAACTATGCACTGCGTTAATAAAGCTGTGCTTGAGGGAAGTCTACGTCAGATTTCGTCATTCGGTAAAAAAAGAAAAGACAAGAAATTCACGTGCGATAAAGTCAAGCGTGTTGTTAAATTACTGCTGAAATTGATTGTTCCATATATAAAAAGAAAACATGAAAGAACGCAATGGAAACTCGTCTGCAAAAAATAAATCAACACTTGGGTAATCGAGTGTGGGGGTTTCGAAAGACCACGCATGCGGAGATCCGAGAAAGAGAGGGAAACGAAAAAGAAGAATGCGCTCTCACCTTCCTGCTGCGACAAGCCTGAGGATTGGAGCACTCGGAGGAGCGTCTACTACGGTTGGTTTTGTAGATGTCCCACTCGTTCTTTACCACTGGCATCATGAAAGCCATTTTCACGTCTGGCAGCCGTTGGACAAGCGTTATAAGCACAATGAATAATGGATCGTTTTTGCTTGTTGGTCACCGGCGGCACGTTGAGGCCTTGAATCTAGCAACAGCTGGCCGACTTCGACGACGCTCCGTCTTTGGTGCCTCGTTACTCTGAGCCGTGGCCGTGATTACACTGTTGTGTGCGCGCACACGCTTCGAACAACCAAAAAGGCGCTTGTTTTCTGCTTTGTTTACGTTTGAAAACGAACTTGACGTTTCCTCGGTCGATGCAACAGCGTGCTACGCTCGGTTACAAGGGGTAAAAGAAAAAGCTAAGTATATATATGTAATTCAAAGAGTTAAGTTGTTTGCTTGGCGATCGCTCGATCGGAAATGAGCACGCCGCCGGCGCTCGCTATGATCAACGGCCGCCTGCGTATAGGTCGAGGTGGCGCCGCCGCCGCCGCTACTAGCCAAAGTGGGGCTGCACGCGATTTGATTGGTTGACCGTAAGGCGGGACGCCAACGTCATAGCGCCCCCCGCTCTCTCTCGCGCCGGCATATAACCATTGATTTTCCTGCGATGTCGATGTGGTGGTGCGATGATGCCGCGAGACGCGTGTTTCACGCTGCCACCTATACAAACGTAGATGCATAAGCCGCGTGTACGTGTGTACGTGTGCACATGTGTGCGGCTGCTGCTGCGCCGACCGAGAGCGGGGCCATTGATTTTTCAGCCTCTCGCTCTCCAACACTCTCGACCTCTGATTTTCTGTCTCTCTTACTTACATCGCGCGCGATATTGTATTTTCTCCGGCCGTCCGGGACAGCACGCGGCCGCCAGCTCCCTGTATGTGTACCTACCTATACATCGTTCTCTTTTCATTCTGCGTGCCGACACTCTATCTTTGGCTTCTTTTTGACTATTTCTTTTGTGCGCCAAGGAAACTTTAGCGTTTTTTTTCACGGTTTCACTCTCGTTTTCAGAGCTTCTATTCATACGTATGCATGTTTCAACTATTTCTCTTATTTTATCGCGAGATGCTGAAAATATTTTTCTTATGAAGTTTAGTGCGGCGTGTTCATATTTGAATTAACCGCTCTTTTTTATGCTTTCACGGGGAATCTCTGCTTTGCCGACCTCCGTCAACTATGGATTTTTTTATCGAATAATCATAAGTTATTCGTGACATTTTTAATTTAACTTTTTGACAATAAAAATAAACACGGATATTTCATTGTTTTTGTAAATAAATTTTACGTAATCATTTTTTAACAATAAACCGAGTGAACTGTCACCATCCTTTGACAAAACTTCCTTGAAACTTTGTAAACGTATTTCAAAGTACTTTTATTCCACGGCTGCAATATTTTCCCTTTCGAAGACATTTCGTTACAATCAGTTTTTCATATAAGGAAGCAAAAGATAAGGGGCAAAATTTTTTTTCAAGTGGCTAATTACTTTAAAATTCATATATAGAACGCCCACTTTATTCAATCTCCCACGAGCATTCACGTGAGTAAATTTGTATACGTATATTCGTACTTGAATGTGCAGTGGTAGAGTTTAGATATAACCACCGACAGAACCTTAAAGCTCTCAGAACAAAGCAAAGTGCAATTAACCACTCTTATAATTGTACAGCTTTTATGAAAAGCTTATGTATAAATTTATCGAAAATATGTCTGTTTCGTATGAAATTACTTTGTTTCCACTTAACGTAAAGAAATTTTTATAACTTAAGCGAAGATGAGCCTAATCTTTTTCAAAAATATTTTAAATTTCAAAAAAAGCTACGCAAGCTCTCGAGTAAAGCCAAGTAGCAATAAAAACGTTAATACAGGACAATGCAGATATAAACGTAGCTTGAGCTAAAGGTCGGCGGTAGCAGCCTGGAACTAGTTCGGGTTACTGCGCGCAATTTTGACCCGGATCGCCCAGCCACTGCAGCAGTACCGCACCAAGGCATTTGGAAATATTTTTCTATAGATTTTCACCTAAGCCACTGGTTCCCATTGACTGACGAGCGGCGCCTTTAATACTTCGCTGTCATTTTTGTGAAAGATATTTCCGGCTACGGCATTTGCACGCGCTGTTGGCTTCCTGAGGATTGGCACGCAGGCAGTCGATTGTGTGCGCGCGTGGGCGCCCCAAAAGGGAGAGTGGCGCGGTAGCCTAGTCTCCTATTCATCGAGCGTTAATTTACCATTTTCTTTGAGCTTTTCTAGCGAGCAGTTGCGGCGCAAACGCGTATATTGATTTTTTTACACGAGCTTTGCTACGCAAATCTGCTATCTACGCGTATACATGTATCCGTGTAAAGATACATCACGCGCATCGATTTTATCTTATTTTCTGTTTACATCGTGTTCGTTTGGATGAACGCGCCGATAAATTATCGCTGAAAGTGATATTAATTTCATCATCGACCTTTTTTAACAGGCAATTCACTGATGTATCCCTTTTCCAAAGCCTTTCACTTTTTTTCATCAAACTGTGTCTGTGATGTAGTGAAAAATTCAAGCAGCGGCCAATTTCGGCTAAATTTATTAGAACAAAAATTAACGATTTGAACGGTAATAAATTAGGCTCACGCAGACAGAAGTTGGATTTATTTGTATATATAGATATGACACTGAGCGTTTCGAATAGATATTAAATATTAGGTCTGATTTTTGTAAAACTTTATTTGTGTTCGAATCCTGAAAGTCTGAAATAGTTTTATCGTATTTTTAGCTCGAAAGCTGCGCTTATAATTATTTCAGACTTTTTTTCAATCACTATAGCCAGGCTGACTTATTTTAAACGCAGCTTTAAATTATCTCAGACTTTGTCAATCACTATAGACAAGCTCGTATATTTCGTGCGGACGTTTTATCACCTCATTACTTTTATTCACTACAGTTCCCTTTTTCATTCTTTCCACTTGATCTTTACTTCGTCAGTCTAGCTCGTAGATATGTGTGAACACCAGAGTAAATTTTATTGCCTTTTTCTAAAGGTTCATCCTCAATTCCTGACTTACGAGAATTAATTCTTTGATCTTTTATTTTTTACGATTCTCGTGTCGCTTGACACAGATATTGTCAAGCGACAACTCACAGGAACTTGATTTATATTACCGCAAAAATCACGCGTCTTTTCTGAAAGTGATGTAAGTTTTAGTTAAACTGGCTTTTCAACAACAAAAAATGATGGCATCTTTAGCTCCGACAATAAAAATTAGAACGAAAAAAAGAAGAGTAACGAACAATAAATAGCCGAGTGTCCAAACTGCACCCTCTTTTTTACCGAAATGTGCTTGAGCACTTGAAATCTGGCAAGTTGTGCGTCTCGAACGAGGCCACGACGCAAATGCCAATACGTAACTACTCGCGCGGTTTCGCACCGAAGCGTCGCGCTCTTCACGTGTCCTACAGCGCTTACCGCCGCACGCGCGCGGATCGTCTCTCGTCGCTGGCCTTTCTTCGCCGATTCCGCGCCACGCTCACCTATTTCTCCCTTCATTCACTGGAATTCCCGTAGATCCATCTTGGGTGGCGCGCGCGCTGCTGCTGTTCCCCTCTGCATAATACAAGCATCCCTGTCCGTGTGCCCTCGACCCTTCATGCTGTGCCGAGCGCGCCTCTTCCATGAAAGGCTGACCCCCGCGTTCTCGCGGCAGCCGTCCGTGTGCGAGTGTGCGCCAAGGTCGACCTTGCATCGGCGAGCGCGAATGATCCTGCCGCTGCCTGCTGCGACGCGTCCGAACTTCTCTAGATTGCCCTAGGGGAGCATTAACTGCCTCGCGCGCTACGCCAATCTGCCGAATGCCGGCCGGCCTATTAGCAGTTGACGAGACCGAGGGCAAAGCTATTTCGCGAAAGAGCTCTGCTCTTTGTCGCTCGCCTGAATACATAATGTCAAGATTATCCTGATCAAGCTCAAGTGACTGCAATTATGGATGTGCCAGCTCTCAAATGTTGATTTATTTCGTTTGGATTGCAGTGGATTTCGCGAGGAGGCGATCGCTCCTCCCCTGTCCGCGCGTCTCTCTGCTTCTACACATCCCGTATCCTGTGCTTTCTTCCAAGCGACGGCTGTGACCTTTCTTATTTCAATTTTCAGACGATAAGCGCTGCTCTCGATTAATTGAACGACTGTGGATCCTTTTATGACGACCTATTTCTATTTGCGAATAATAATGATGATGGTCTGCCAAAATGTATCGCAAAAACAGTGATGACGCACTGTACTTTATTGGATGGTGTCAATATTTATACTCTAATAGTGTTGCGAACCTCCGAAATTTCGGGCAAACGCTGTGCTAGTGTGATCAGTTCCAAACTTTAGTGATTAATAAAACAATATTAGCCATGCCCTAAATGATCGCTGTAACCTTCATTTTTCCTGTGCCAAAAAATACGCTACAACAGGAAATGCGCTCTGGGTATCGCCGGTGATTCGCGGATAAACAACGCACTTTCATGCCGTGCCTGACGTATCCGGGAATTCCAAATTCACTATGAAGAACTGCGAAAAACAACTGTAATGTACTTAATCGTTGCTTAATGACAAAATCAATTTATAGTGTGATCGTATCGAAATACAACTGACTGAATATTCGTACCTCCGATCTTCCTATTCCGATAATATAATTACAAGTAGTTATTGTGAATGGAAAATTACAATCAAAGGTGCTTTGCTGTATTGGGGTGGAAAAAACTAAATATTGTAACATCAAGTCCAAATGATCAAAAGCTTCATTGAGATTCTTCATTTAATTAAGAAATGAATCGATTATTCCTTTTTGCGCAAAAAAACTCAGCAACAATGTCAGAATTGACATACGATATAGATAAGGTATTATAAATAAAAGTACTTATTATGTTCATTGTTTTGATTAAAGTTATTATTCATCGAGAAAACGTCGATTAGCAACAAATAAAAATCAGCCGCAGTAGTATTATTCATTGTTTATATTCATTAAAGTATGATACAACTTGTAATAATCCGAATCGTATATAGTTACGCAAATAATCAATAATTCAAGCGCGCGCATTGCATATAGATAATCAAGAAAACTTACGTCCTATCATCTAATTTATTGATTTATACTTAGTTATTTTACTAAACAAAATATTCCAATAGATAATTCTAACGTTGTATGACTCTTAATAATGAGGTGATAAGTAGTTATCGTTCAGGTGAATACGCAAGGCTGGATAAACGGCCTGTTCTTGTGAAATTTACTTGCAAAAAAAGAAACTATTGTGCTTATGGACGTTTTCACGATAAGTTAAATAATCCAATATTATTGCATCAAATTTGTGAAATAGACGGAATAAGCTCTGTCAATTAAAATGTTAGCGGGCTGAAAAATGAAATATAGACATTTTTACATGAAAATCCAGATAAATTATACGACTATCAAATACATGAGAAAATTAGGCAAAATCATTATATCATGCGAATGATGTTCTTGTCGAGAGACCAATTCACGTGGGGTGCAGTATGCAATAATTTTTATTGCTTGAGCGATATCATTCGAGTTATCTATCGTATGACGATGACAGATTACGCGATTTATAAGCCACGTGATCACAAGTGACACGTATCAAGTGTGCAATGAAATCGCTGCCGGGCTTCTAGAATTTTCCAGAAGCTCTCTCTTGAGCTTCCCCGGTTTACCGATGGCTGGTACATATTACCAACAAAGAGTGCGCTGCCTTCACAGTAACTCGCCGCGCCCTTTCCAGGTACTCGTTCATGGGAGGAAAATCGATAACATTTTCTGTTTATCTCCAAGTCCGTCGGTCAAGTCGTTCGCGACTATTTTTCAATTTTTGAAAGCTCGTTTATTAGTCTTGCAAAAACCAATGAAACACAATGCATACTAACTCGAAGCTTTGTATATTTATTTTGTAATCCTATCTCCAGCGTTTGACGCTTTCAAATATCATAGAAACGCAATATTATCAACTTCCCTACAAATTTGGTACACTTATAATCTCTCCAACCAATGACAGTTGATCATACAGTCTCGAAATCGATAATCTGATTGGTACAAGGTCATAATAATCCTTATTGACCATAATAAAAATCCAAAAAGTTCTCTGTAGTTTTGTTCCGAAAATCAATACAATTAAATTCACCTATAGAACAGCCAAGAAATAGATAGAAGCTCACAAGAAACTCTTGAGAGAAAAGAGTCAAGTATACACAGGCGCGCGTTAAAGTTAAAAAGTAACATTTGTAAACCGTAATGTGGCCGCGCAATGTTGACTGCATTTGTTTCGGCGATCTACTGTACAGGACGTTCAACTGCTCCACTTACTGTTCCACTTACTAAAGCGAGCAGACATTGATATTCTACCGAGTATACAATCAAACAAACAATTAATTAAGTCATTTATCAACATATTCACTGCAATGACGTATTAAATGACATTGCAATTTCTTAAGAAACCAACTTAAATTTGTTTAAAAGACTATGTGAATAATCATTATATTCGTATGTGTAACATCGACTCAGTTCATAAATCATCATTAAAATATTCTAACACGTAAACTTATTAGATGGTATTGCTTGTAAGGGTGCAAATATTTTGATCCTTTTGTTTGGAAATGAAATTTTCGTTCATTGACGTAGGCAATGACGTAGCTGATTTTTCATCTGTTATAAATGATTTGTCACGTTCGAGTAAAGTCAAACATTTTGGCACGGTTGACAAATTGTCATCTCTTGGTCAAAATATTCATGATACGTCATTTTTTTATAAAACTGACTACTAAAATCCTATTAGCACTATGGCTACGAGCGTAAAACCTTGTGCTTAATAATCAGTGATAATCGAATCGATACATAGTCTTGCAATGTAGATTTAACGGATTTTTCAGATCAAAGCTCAAGGATGTGACAATATTACTTAACACATACCGAAATTTCTCGTACGAAAATAATTGAAACACCGACTATTCTCATCGAATAGCCGATCACAGTAACCACAAACAATATCAGTTAGATGTTACGTTTATGCCTGAAAATAGAAAAATAAAGTTATCCCATTGTAATAACTGCCCATTAAGAATCTTCATAAAGCCATTATCTAATCAAATCAATTCGAAAAAAAGAAGGCGAGTGTGAATCACAATACCACGGAGCAATCAAAAAGTAATTACAACCTCGCCTACACGGACAATTAGAAATGGCCATATCCAAGAGCAGAGGAAGCGAGGCGCGTCGAATAGTGCGGGAACGTGCGCCGGAAAAGAAGAAGAAGAAACGGAGGAAGGGGGCGGAGGTGTGTGCGAGCGGAGCGCGCGCGCGCATTCACCGGCGCCGCGCGCTAAGCGGTCCGACTATATACAGTTTGTTTCACTTGTTTATCCTCCAGTGTTTTTCGGAGCGCCGACGCGGTGACCGTACCGTCGCGCTGCTGCGCTCGTCCATTAGACACGGAGTTCACGCTCCATGCGAGCATTGAACTGCCAAACTTGAAACTAAGCTAAATTAACTTGCCCTTGGTCCACCTGCCAAACATGTGAAGTTTACGTTTTCATAGACCAACCTGCTACTTTATTTATTTATTTATTATTTTTCGAAGAGTGTTTATCATTCGTTTTAGTTTAGCATCATAGTGCGTGTCTTTTATTCCGCTGAGGTATTCTGTTTGCTTTGTGAAGATGACTTTCGATCCCGTTACCGACCAACAACAACAGGAATTTTTTCAACAAGGATGCATTGCTCATCTTCCGGGGTATGATCTGTTTTATTACAACAAAATTACTTTCATAGCAACTTGTTCAAATTAGAAAAACAATATTTGTCTTATGGTTTTCTATTCACCAAGTTTGAAAATATGCAAACGAAAAAAAAAACACCTAAAGAAAAAACAAAGTCAAATGACACAGTACAATGAATATATTTGTTTATCGTAATATCTATCTTATCTTTTATCGCGGTAACGTAGGTGATAAAATTCGCAACTCTATTACAATATGGCGAGTAGTAATTCATATATGCTCAGGCATTGCATAATAGTCGTGAACGTGAAAGGTTTGTATTTATAGGCCCTAAGGAGACTTGAATGACAATCTTATGCAGCGCACGTTCTGTCAAGTCAACGCGTTCTATTTGGCAGTTACACGATAAACCAATCAGTAAACGAACCAATTTGAATTCCGTGATTATTTTGTAAAGAAAAATGAATTTATTCATATCTATCTATCATTCTACATTTTTATAAAAATCGAATAATGAGTATGTGAATATTATTTAAAAATAATATTCATTTTATAATAATATTCTTTTGTACTTGTTCTCTTCGCCAATTAAATTAACGTTATCATTAACTATTTAAAAATACGGGTTTGATCATGAAAACACTGATCAAAACTCTTTTTTGAGCTCACCCGGTTTTGAAGAACCGTTAATCCGTAAATATTGCTCTCCCTATGAGAAAATATTACTTCATTGGTGATTTTGATTATCATTTGTAATTCAATTTTTGTTTCGATCACATGAAATAAGTTCGTAAATAACTTAAAAATGTAGAGACTATCCTTTCGATGTATAAACGGTAAACACGGCGGATGCAACGCTTCCTTGCCTATTTGAAAAAGCACTGTAGAGCGTCTGAAGAAGCGTAAACGCTAAAAATGCGCCAAACGACGTTGACGTCAAAAAAAGTAAATTTGCACAGTGCAAACAACCTCATGTTTGAATCTCTCGTGTTACATTCGAAAAATTAAATTTTGTACGCTTCTGTTTAGCTAATACGGATGTACTCATTTTATTAATACTCATTTATTTGAACCCAATAATTGTTCGAAACATTCGAAACTTTATTGATCGCATCAAGTTCAGTTTTAATATTTAGGAAGTGCATATCGATTACAAATAACTTTGCGCACAGTGCACAAACGTCTAATTGTTATTATAGCCTTTGCTCGTTTTTTCTTGTGTGAGCATCAAACCGTATTGTACTATGGAACTAGTTCACATGACTGACCATACGTATGCAAGTAAAACTGGAATTTACTCCCCAAGTGGAGCAGGTCAATGTAACGAGTACAACGAAAAATTACTTAAGCGAAGACTAATGATGTTAATAAACCGTTTGATAAGTATATACGTTTAATAATTTATGGACTTGAAATCTATTTCAAAAGTTTCATATTTAATGTATAGATTAAGTAAAAATGAAGTTCGTGAAAAATATTTTAATAGATTTAATAACGTATCAACATTGGATTTATTGAACTGTAGTTTTATCGAATATAATTGAGGTTTAAAGGTTAAAAACCGGTTAATGTGACATGCCAACAGGTTAGATGAAATCTATATGCAACTAAATCTGGTTGATTTATTCTAGCAGCAGCGCTCAAAGCAATTTAGAGTGTAACTCAGATTTTGTGAAATTATCGTATGAAATAACGCTCAGAGCCTCGACAGTGAGAAACATATTTGACATTCAAATATCGTTCAACGAAACAATTGGCAGGTCGAATGTATAGGTATCATTTGGAACAATTAACGACTGCTAATTGCATCGCAACAGAACCGACAAGATCTGTGAACAAAGTGAAAGAGAAATAAAAGGCCCTTGAGGCTGAAAATAGAGAGAGAGAGAGAGATAGAGAGAGAGAGAGAGAGAGAGAGAGAGAGAGAGAGAGAGAGAGAGAGAGAGAGAGAGAGAGCGAACTGAGAGCAAAATATATAGTATTGGGGAGGAATACAAAGGAATGGACTGGTACCAGTCACGGTACCACGTTACATTACACCCTCGTGGGTGGTGGACTGCAAGGCATAGTACCACGCGAGCTTTAATCACGCACAAGAGTTAGCCTTCATGCGCGAGATCCCCGCGCCCGTCGTGTAGCCAAGGCAAGGCAAGCACCAATGCTGGGGATGCACCTGCCCGACAATTCGCAATATCGATTCGCTAAATAAACTAGCGGCTCTTATCAAAACGTCTGTTAACAATCCCTCTTCTTTGTGTATACGTGCAGCTGTGTGCTTTCCTTATATCCTCGAGCATTCCATCGTGCCCGTCAAACTTTTGGTGCTTCCAAGGAAATTCTATTTTCAGCGTTGAGTGTTGCGCTTATTTGATGAGTTTGCTGCAATATTTGATTGTTGTACCAGGACAGCTTAACATTGAAATTAGTCAAGTTATTGCTAAAGGTTTTTCGGTATTCCAGACTTTACAATCATAACTGTAATAATTCAACTATCGCGCTTTAATTCACGTAACAAGCAGGAACATTTAACATATGAGATCAAATCGTCCGACTGGAGTATTTTTTGGAATAGTTCTAACTGACTATTACTAATTAATGTACAATTGACGTTCAAAACACAGATTTATGTTGAAATCAATATCATAAAGTAAGACTTTTATAACAAAGCCAATACATATAAAAATCCTGTTGTCGCCTCCAAGTACCTCGTTGTTTTTTTCAAAATCCGGGCAACCGAGCTACGATCCCAATAATGCTTTGCCCGGTCATTGACCTTGTCGAAGCTAGTCAGACAATAGATTTTTAAAAATGAAACAGAGTAAAACATGTTGGTATGTAAAGCTATTGTACCAGCTAGCTATTCAACCATGACCGTCACACAGAACTGCTCTACTGCGTCGATTTTGTGGGTCGACGCTGGCCCACTTTTTTTGCTTTTTTTCCACCTCTCGAACGTCCGCGCAGTGCCAGCGGTTCGTTAATACGTAAATCTATCGAGGATTGCACTCCGTCACGAGATCGCTTCTATGTATTGACTTTGATTCTTCTTTTATTCAATGAATTATTGATAAATTGGCAATTTGCTGGGATAAGAGATTTTGTAATGTTTATCGAATGCCTTATTTGTGCATAAATAATTTACAACATTGATATCGACGTACGAAAGAATATAAACAAAATCAGTGATGTAATTTGATTGTGATATTTTATAGTTAGAATTCTTATACATAATGATAAAGAACTGTGTTACAGGTACACCGGACACTGTCCAACACTGAAGTTCCGAGTTGGAAAACGATATGGAGCCTGCACCCAAGAAATTATGAAAGTAAATATTTGGACGAATTCTTCATTTTAAAACAACCTGTAAAAAATGACTTATTTGTTTGTAGGAGCTTATGGAGAAAAAAATTTTAAAGACTGGCCCCTACAGACCTAACTCTGGAAAAGAGAATTTAGTTCCAATTAAACGCGAAAAAAATATCAGAAGAGATTGGAAAAAAGATGCCTACGTGTACAAAACTCCTTACATTTTAGGTTACACAGGTATACTCTCGGTCTTAACTAATAATCCTTTATTTAGAACGTTAAAATCTTTAAAAATATCAATCACAGGTTACATACCCGGTTTCAATAGCCGATACGGTTTAACGTTCATGAAAGCAGTAGAGGAAGGTGCAGTTGAGTGGCGTGAAGCACAAAACAAGTTAAAAGCACGAAGGGATGCAATGCGAGCACATGCCGAAAGGACGGACCCAAGAAATTTATTGTCTCGAGTTAGGTCAGACAATGTAGACATTGAGATCGATCATGGACACAGTCGGAAGAGGCAATATTTCGGTTAGTAAGATAACTTTTATTTCGATCGTTGTTATAGTTTCAGTCCCAAATAAGATCGACAAAACCAACATTAGAGTGCAACAATTTTCTAATACCCATTTTTTTTGTGTGTTACCGTTTCCAATCACGATTTTTGGTGGTCGAGAACTGTTATTTTACGATCATCATTCAATGTTGCGTGTCGTGCTTACCAATTGTACATACAATATATGTGTCGAGAGAGTTCATTTTTTTGCACCGTTAAAGCAACATAATTATCCACTGAATTGCTGTCTTCTGTGTTATTTGTTCTAATTAAATGACTAATTCTTGTTATTTTAACATTAACTTACAGACAGAATTAAGAGTCGACAAAAATACGTAAAAAATAGGTCGAATAAAGCTTACAATATGAAATACTAAAAATTATCGAATTAAGCTATTTCTAACTATGAATCATGACCGATTAGGTAAAGACCATATCCATTTTCTCATTTATGTAGAATATATTTTTTGATACATGCAAGTTTTTGTACATAATAAAACCAATTAATTTTCCGCTTGTGTCACCAACTTTGATTAACTTAATTTGGAAAGATAACATTATCAATCAAATGTAGTCTTTATCTCAAAGAAAAACAAATTCATGATGATATTAAGTTTTTATTATACATATGCCATAAGCCAGTAAGCTGACACATGTAAACTAGAGGGAACATGATTCAACTTGCATGTATCTTTCGAATGTCAAATGAGAAAAAATTAAGACTAATAATTATTTGACGTATTCATAGACAATCAAGTAACAGCTGAAAGTCCGCCAATTGTTGGTTATACTGGGCACATACCGGGCGCCAAAGGAGAAGTTGCTTTATCAAAGAGGTACGCGCAGGCAGCGAAAAAAGGTCTTGAGCTTCTGCAAAAAGATCGTGAATCTAGGCTTGGTACAGCCAAAACCGCTGACGCAATTCAGAGAATTCTCGACGACGCATGTCTTGATGAAACGGGACACATAAAAGCGTGAAGTCTCTTGACGAGGAAAGATTAATTTTAGATTTAAGATTACACAACTTATTTTGAGTAAATCATGAGGTTTGAGTTTTGATTTAGTTATTGTTAGGTTGAACAGAGAGAACGTTATTTGAGAAGTATTTTAATATTTATCGCTTTGTACAGCATCTTATGCTTGTATACACACAGTTAAAGTATGATATACTATTTACTTAAATTAAGTAGTAATTAATGAACGTCGCAATTATTGCAAGTCATTGTAAAATATTGCGCACGGACAGATTCTTCATTTTGAAAGCTTCAATAACTCGAGAAAACAAATGATATCATAGAAATAAATTAAGATTGTATAATAGCAACAAAATAAAAGCACTCAGGGCACTTCAATCTGTGCAGCACTTCCGTCCAAGCATAATTAGATGTAAGTTACATAAACGTAATTTGAAAAAAATGGGGTTGTGTTTTTTGTTAAAATTACTTAACCCATTTCGTACCAAGATGATAAAAATTTTACTGAGTTTTCAACGCCATAATTTTTTAACTAAAGGCGTTAGAAAAAAATCGTGAAGTATCATTTCCGATAGTTTAAAGTCTAATCTTTCGAATGACATCATTAAAATGAGTCTAAAATTTGCTTGGAAAAAGTTATGACAAGTTTTTCACCAAAAAACGTGACATTTTCAAAATTTTTCTCAAAAAATGTCAAATTTTAAAAATGAAAGAGGGTAACCCGATTATTGGAAATGCCTTAAAGGGTAACATTAATATCTGCCCTTCAAAATGCCATTGAGATTTTTCCGAAATTCAAAATGGCGTCCTAAAAGTGAAAAAAATCATAAAAACGCGGATTTCTTTATACTATATTTTTCTATGCAAAAGCAGTGTCTTATCATTACGGTCATTATAAATTGTATCAATAACATGTTTTTGTCGAAATTTAATTGAAATTTTTCTAAAATTCAAGATGGCGACGTGAAAATGCTGTTCAAAACCTATAACAAATCTATAAATTCGTATAATTCTTTGTAAATGGTACATTTCCATTATTATTATTATCCGCCATCTTAAATTTCGGAAAAATCTCAATGACATTTTGAAGGGCAAATACTAATGTCACTCTTTAAGGCATTTCTAATAATCGGACTGATATTAAATAATAATATTAATAATATTAATATTAATACTAATGTTAATATTACTCTTCCATGTTTAAAATTTGACATTTTTTGAGAAAAATTTTGAATATTTCATGTTTTTTGGTGAATAACTCGTCATAACTTTTTCCAAGAAATTTTAAGTTAATTTGAATGACGGCTTTCGAAAAAGGAGACTTTAAACTATCGGAAATTATACTTCGCTATTTTTTTCTAACGCATTTCGTTAAACAGTTATGACGTTGAAAACTCAGTAAAATTTTTGTCGTCTTGGTACGAAATGGGTTAAAATATGTCTCAGTGTTCTTTTTAATAGAAAGAACCATTGATTGACAAATAGAAGAAAAACAAAACTAGTTCAATCTTTACAAGTAAAAGATAATATTTAGTTTTGAATAACAAGTGTTACGAGATACCTCTATTTGTTAAGAGCGTAAAGTTATAATTATTTGTAAATAATGAAAATTACCGTAATAGGAAACAAAAAAAGTATCATATTGAAGTGATAATAAAAATGTATTCTAAAATGAACCCATTATATTAATTAATCCTAAAAAATTAACAACTTATCTACGTCTCGATAACCTGTTCAATCGTTCCATTTCCAACTTCAAAGATCTTTTCCACATATCAGGCTTCAAAACGTTAAGACCATGCGATAGTGACATTAGTCGTGATAAAACCATTAATGAATGTAAATCGTCGGGAGTAAATTTCTTGTATATATGCCTTAGCCTTACGAAATCATCCTGTATGACCTACAATCGAGAGCATGATTTTAATGTAATTTCTAACATCATACAAACAAAATCAGTTTGTTGCATCCATACTCACTTCAGACGTTTCTTCTGTAAAATCAAACTTTGCATGCTTGAGTGTACTTATGTACTGTCTTATATCTGTTAATCGATTTTCATCTTTCAAATACTGTTTCGCCGCTTCAAGAACATGCGGATAAAGTTTAACTGTTTCCGGATCTGGCTTTAAAACTATTTGCTGTCGACACTGCAATAAATAGAAACTATTATTGCAAAATGCCAATAAAACGATAATAGATATACAATACTATTATTAATTTACAGATACAAATGATTTCGATTCTGATAAAATTAAAACAGGTATGTCTGTTTCATGATCCATAGTGTAATATTTAAAATCGTATGGCAGTTTTTGAAATATAATTAAGTCATTAATAGTATTATAGTTTTGTCTTCCACAAGCTGTGACTTGGCCAGCTGTTAGACCTGTTTCATCAATAATCAAGTGAGTATTTTTACTAAGCTGTAAAATTCCACTTGTTAATCTATCACATTCATAGTCTTTTCTGTAAAAAAGATAACGTTAAATTCCAAATTTATACTTTTTGATGGACAATTTTAAATTTTATATACTTTGGAAGGAAACACATGTTGTTGAGATTCCCTAATGTCATATCTATTAAATGACTTTTTTCAACAATTTGCCTTAAAATTTCATACAAATCTTTTGAAAAATCCTTATATTTCATTGGAAAATTTGTTATATTAATAGAAAATGCTCCAAGGGAGAGAGATGGTTGCCTAAGATACCTAAAATATAAAAAGCATGTAATAGTTATAGTAAATATTGCAATAAAGCATGTTATAAAACATACACTGATGAAATCAAGTGACAAATCAAATAATCAGCAGCAACTTGATCTCCAAAAAGTATCTGACTTAACACCCTTCTTAAATCTTCTCTTATACATTCTGCTTTTGAAAAAATATTAGTTTGTTCCACAATGTATTTGCTTTTTTCATCAATAATTTTGATTGCATGCAATCTTGGAACTATAGAAGCTGGTGGATGATGAATTTGTTGTTCTAGCTCAGTCATATTTGGAGAATCATAAATTTCACTCAAAGTAGGATCCAGTGATAAAAATCCAATTATATCAATAACTTGATTTAATTTGTAAGGCATATTTTGGTATACCTATACAGTAAACATACATATAATGACTAACCTTGTGTGACTAACAAACAATTTCATAATTTCATTAGATTAATTCAATGATTTGTCTGATATTAATATCAATTTTCAATACTTACTTTTACTATACAAATTTTTCCATCTTTATCTGGTATAGGAAAGTTCAGAAGGTAATCCTTGGAAACCAGTTGTGGTTTCTTTGATTCTTTGTCCATTGAATACAAAGATCCAACTTCTGCATTATTATCCAATGCTTTTTCTTTCTTTTGTTGTGGTTCTGAACAATCCATTGGTTCTTCTGAATCATCTAAAGCTCTTTTACTACTTTTATTAACATTGGATTTTGTAGACTGTACGTCAATAGGCATTCTATTTTTAAGACTTTCCTTAGCCCAATCATTCAATCCTGGTATAGAAATAACTATCCAAACCTGTCTTTCTGATTTTACAGTACTATCCGAATTAAATTCAATTTTTTCATAAGACTGCCATAAAATAAGGTCAAATTACAATTATAGAAATAATAACATTCATAAATAATAATACTTTGATAAAGCTGTTGGTTACAGCATACATGGAATAAACTAAACTTTAAGTATCCCACACCTGGAGTAACCTTAAGTCAAATTTTATTTTGGTCTTGCACTGACCTGAATGTTAATAATGTAACATGGGTTTCCAAGTGCTCCTTAAGACCTTCATTGAAATAAAAACTACAAAATAGCTTTTACATTGCCTTACCTCACAGTGTGCTCTATCTATAAGCAATCCACTTCTAATACTGCTTTTGCCAGTTTGTTCATTGATTACTTGATAATTTTGAAGAAAATACTCAGGATTATACATATCCTGTATCATTCCTCGAAAATGAACAAGTTGACCATCATTGAGATAATCCAGGTTGGTAGAATTCAAAGAAGGGATTTCATTCAATGCATCAGCATTCTCTAAATCTTTCATACAGTCAGATTTATTTTTCAAAAAGTAATCAACAGTCCAATCAGTAGGCTTGAGAGCTAAAAGCATAAGTAAATGTAATTATCAAAGTGTTTTTACATTTATCTTTTAAATCAAAAGAAGACGCTGTTCTTACCCATTTTGGAATAAATATAACGAAAAATTAAAATTAAATTAAAATAAAACTGAAAAAGTAAATAAAATTACTTATCAGCAGCACTGAAACTAAACTTATAAAGAACAGAATGGCCATAAAAGACAACTACTTTACACTTCCACCGCCACGACCACGTGATATATCGCGCCAAAATTCTATAACAAGAAAACGTATGCAGCGCCATCAACGTTGCAGCTGGAAAATTTTTTTTCAGACGTCCTTAAAAATGATCCCATTTCCTATTTGATATATAATAATATAATAATAATATATAAAATACAATAATTTTTAGAGATCCTGAGAAAAATTTGTCAAGCGGAAATGCTGAGCACCACTTCTGCAATGGCGTGGCATTACTGACTTAGCAGATAAAAGTTTTTCAAGGGTTTCTCTTAAACAAATGAATCAATTAAGTTGAAACCTATTGAAGACATTCATTGTAAATAAACCGTGTGCTTAAATCTTACTTTTATGAAAAAATGTTATGGAATCAAAGAAAAAATAAAAACTCTAATTTCAGTCATTCAGTTTTTGTCACATTTATCTCTCATTTTATAAAAAAAGTTGAGCAATATATTCTTTATTCATGTATAATGAATGTCCCCAAAAAAAGATTCAACGTAATTAATTAATTCATTGTTTCAGAGGAAACCATACAAAAATCTTTGTTTAGTCAGTAAGTTATGTATATGTTTGTCTATTCTCCTTATATATATATATATGTGTGTGTGTGTGTGTGTAGAAAAATCTATTCAAATCTATATATAAATATATAGCTATACATATAGATAATTCTACACCACACACACACACACATATATATATATATACATACACACAATTAGGAGGCTTGAAAATTTGGTTTTGAAAATAGTCATTTTATTTCTGTCATATAGTATGTTTAATATGGATTAAATATCATTTTACTTAATTAAAACCAAGTTATTGTAATTATGAGTTTATAAGGTTTCCATTAAGTTTAAATCTTATTTATTTCAATGAAAATATATTTTGCAGTATTCGTGACAAAAAATATCAGTTTACAATGCATTTTTGTTCATTCTAGTATACGTATATTATCATATTCACAATAATTATTATATTCAAAATTCATTATTTACATATTCTTACAATCTATCGATTTTTTTTGTAGAATAATATTAATTAATCCAATAATACTTTTCATAAAAACTGTTAGAATTAAACTTAAATTGGTCCTAATTAAATTCGGAAAATTTTTTAAATTATTCAAGTTCTATGAGCATACATAATAATAATCAGTTTTCTTTATCATCAGCATCATCATTAAATTGCAGTGCTTTTAAATCTCTTTTTTTCACTTTAACAAAGTTATCATTAACATGAATTTCAGAATTAATAGAAAGTTTTTCTATAGCATCTTGTTGAGATAAATGAACACTTGGTTTTATTAAACTTTCTGCACCTTTGTCTGAATTTTTCTCCTTAACTTTTATCCTTTCTCCTGTACTTTCAGCTACAGATATATTAATTTTTTTCTCACAAGTATCATTTTCATTCTTTATATTATTTTGTACAATTAAATTACTTTTATGTTCACTTGTTTCATTGATGACTTTATTTGATATGTTTGATGTATCTTCTTCAGCTTCTCTTTTTTCTCTTAAATGTTCCTCCAGAATGTCTCGTTTTGGAAATGCATTATTGGAATGACTTTCATTATCATTTATTTGTTTAGTAATGTTCATTTTTAAAAGAATTGGTATTGGATTCATATAAATTTTTTTGTCTTTTTCTTTTCCATTTTTTCTCTCCTCTCTATCATGTGGTTTATCTAATTTATTAATTTCAATAGTTTCATTTCCATTCGACAACTTATTGGATTGTTTAGTTAATGCTTTGATAATATGATCCTCAGATTTTTTAATGTGCTTGTCGACAATTGATTTATTTGAATTTGAAGAGATAACTGGTTTTCTCATGAGAGTTTCTTTGTTTTCATTAAAATACTTATTTTGCTTATTTAAGTTATCGATTTTAGTGCCTTCATTATTACCCTGAATAACCGATTGTCCTTTATGATGAGACACATTCATACTGTATTCATTTTCTTGTCCTTTAATTTCAGTATCTTTCTGTGATTCTATGTTATGGACGACAACTTTAGATTTGATTGCATTTACGAGATTCTGTTTCTGTGCTACATTATTAGGATCATCTTTCCTTCCATTCTCTGGTACCAAGTTCAATTGATTACTTTGTTTTTCTATTTCATTCTTTTCAGATAATTCTCTCTCTTTCTTTATTTGTTCAATATCTTTTAAAAGTTCTTTTTGTTCCTGCATCAGTTCCATAATATGTTCTTCTAAAGTTCTTTTAAGCTGCTCCTTTTTTAGTACAGTTTCTACATTTGATATTTCCTTATCAGCAGCTAATTCAGATTCTTCTTTTTTTATTGCGTCAACAGCTATTACATCATTTTTTTGAGCAACATTAATTTTTTCATCTGTTTTACCAGGTAGTATGTTTGCTTCCTCTATCACATCCGGTATATTATTAGTACTTTTAATTTTCTTTAATAAATCGTAAGCTACTTTTGCCTCTTCAATGAGTTTGTTATCTGCATCTTTTTCAACTTTTGGAACTTCAGGTGGCTCTGGCTCTATGATAATTTTGTCCTTGATCTCCTCTTTTGGTTTTTCATCACCAGGTAATCTTTCTACAGGTACAGGTGGTTCTTGTCTTATATTTTCTATAGGAACAGGTGGCTCTTGTCGTACATTTTTACTATCTGGAATTTTGTCAGGAACTTTTGGCTTTAAAATTTCAATGTCATCTATGTGGAATGGATTTAAAATTATTATAACATTACAAAAATAAATCCAAATTTATTATAAAGAATTAATCTACATCAATTACATACCTTTTTTAACTTGCAGACCATCTAACTCTTTTGGTTCATCATGTTTTTTAAAGATTTCATTGTCAATTAACACTTTGGGAATTTCATTTAGTTGACTAGGAAATTTTGCAGTTGTCATAGTAACTTTAGCTGTTGACTGTTCCATGGCATACAAATTTGCATACGTTCCAAGTACCAAAATCCATATTCCAACAATAATGAGAAACTATACTTTTTATTATTAATAAGGTTGAATTGCCAATCACATTTTTATAAAACAACATTTTTAAATTGTGTCTTACCTGAGCAAGCAATCTTTCATTTGTATTTTTTGTACTAATAGTTATGAAAAATGCAGCAGGAAATATAAGACATATAATGACACCTATTGTTGATCCAACAATACCTAATACAAATTCAATATTTGGAATCAAAATTCCAATAATAAGAGCAATGGTAACAATAAAAATTGTAAGACATCTGAATCTTGTTTCAGATATATATGCGGTTGATGTTTCATGGGTATATGCCTAAAAATAAATTATTATTAATAATTCTAGTTTGTAAAAAAAGTGCCATAAATAACTGCTATATATATGATAGAACAAAATTGTTGAATTAACTTACTCTTCTAAAAAGTAAAGAATTAAGACTGGCTCTACAGGGAAAAATGACTAGTGGAAAACTAAAAGCTACTGATAGTACAAAACCTATTTTTATTATTTCAGATGACAAACTTGGTTCAAAACTCATCAAAATATTTCCTAAAATACCATTTAATAAATCATTATTCTATCAATTTTATAAAATTATTCAATAGTAATAAAACCAATACCTGTAAATGGCTGTGTACTAAAAGCTATGTAACCAAAAAAACCAACACAAAAATAAACTGTAGTACACATGTTCAATGCTCCACGAACAATTTCATTCATTTTCTCTAAACTAACATTAGGAACAACTTCATAAATTTCAAATAGCTGTGTTTGACAAAAAAGAGATAAAGCAAAAATAGGTAAGCATTGGAGAATGCCTGCAGGCCTCCAGTAGTGAACTTTATTCAGCCAGTCTCCAGCAAAAATATGGTGAGTTGATTCTATTATCACCTGTTTAAAAAAATGTTATATACAATACCTTGTAACATTTATTAGTTAAAATGTAACAAAATAATTAGTAAAAATGTTACGTTACCCTTAAAACCAAAAATATGTAAAATCCAATAGAAGCAGTACTAACACTAGCCAAACTGTCAATATTTCTTAGCAAACCTAATGGTAAAACAATGAAAAACCCGGTTGTTATCAACAAACTAGTTCTTATATCTTCAGGTTGTTTTCCAATCATTACTCCAATAATTTGTGGTCCTAAATCTCCAACAACAACAAAAAATGCAATGCAAGTTCCCAACAAGAATCCAATCACACTCAGCTCAACCAAAAATTTGCCCATGAAGCCAAAAGCATGGAATGCTAAAAATTCAAAGTTCCTTCGACGAGACATGACAGCAGACTTTATGAGGAAGTAACATGATAATCTGGAGAGGATACTACTTAGTATAAGAACTAAAGTAGCTAAAATAATGCCACACTGCTTAAAGCAAAATGGCATAGCTAAAACGCTAACACCAATAATGCCATTAGCAAGGGTCATTACATGTGAGATCATTTTGGTATCACAGTTTGGTCTGTCACATGTGGCAAATGGTAAATAAATAGTTTTATATTATTATTCACGTTTATTTACATTCTGGATTCTGAAATAGAAAATTTTTTTAACGTATGCTAAGTTCAAGTATATTGTAGATAGAACAGCACATCAATTAAAGAATTACCTTATATGTTTCATTTTCATTAATCGCATCTTTCTTCATGTTGTGTACGTGATATTTTACTATATTTTCTATTGTATAAGGAATCAATTTAAAATCATTACTCATAGTGTAAAAATCGACGAAAATACTCGATAAAAAGGAGGTTAAAGTTACCGATTAACGAAACGTAAACAACTAGATATATATATATATGTGGACACATCAGTGTATGTCTATTATATCGTGTCTCCCGTATATTATTCTAGTATTAATTCAAACAAATAATAAAAAGACCAATCAAATGTGTATAAGTAGTAATGCTACAATAAAAATACTTGCTAAAAATTAAAGTTCTTTAGAATTCTTATTCAATCTTGATTTTAACCAAACAGCTGTTACAACACACACGTGTACGCCACTGATACATATGTATGTATGTAACATTATAGGTAAACGTACGTGTACAACGTACAGATATTTAACATTAAAACATATTATCGCAAAAATATACCATACTCTTATTGATAAGACAAAATAATGTAAATTTTGAATACTTGCACAAGTGATTTTATTATTTTATCATAAATATCTAAAAACATTTTTGAACTTCATACTTTGACATAAATATGACAATGTCTTGTCTTTCAAAACTGACACTATTAAACGCAACATCATACATTATTTAAAAAATTACAATTATATCTAAAGAAACTGCTTACATATTTACTTATATACCTACATAAGTTTATAGAACATATATCTGATCCGACTTAGTAAATACATCAGTATAGTATATGCCATCGATTACATTTACACTAAAAATTCAAGTACCTTAAAAAATATGAATATTAACTATTTGAGATCTTTACATACAAGCCAGGTAAAAAAAGGTGCAAATAAAAAAATAGATAAAAAATTACAGCTTACTTTAATAATATTGTTGCAAAGTAATTAGTGTGAATGTAATCAATAATTACAAAAGAAAAAATTTACCATTTATGCTCGATATTTCACGCAACAAAACAATTCTCAAATTGATCACGAATATACTACAATTTTTCCATTTACGCTTGCTTTACTTTGATATATGACTGAAGAAATATTTCTGTAGAAACACACCTTTCATACTTTTATCTAAATCGGACAATTGCTTGCAATCAATGCTTTCGAAATTTGCCCTGCTCAAAAGAAATCATAAAGCGAGTTTGAACTGGCAACTCACGATTCACGTTATCGATCTTTATATACGAAAATAATTTATGAAATTTGCAATATAATCTTTTGACTAATATAATTAGAAAAAAAATGAAATGTGAAAATGAACGCTCGAATAACTGATGCATCAGTCACAAGATTATATTAAAAGAAACATATTGTGCTTCACGAACGTTCGCGAACGTCAATAATTCTTGATAAGAGTCTAAAAATATTCTATTTATAGACTGGTGACGTAAATTTTGATAACATCATAAATTTTAACTGAAAATTGCAATTGATATCTTACTATTGCAAGGATTTGTTGCTTATTTTACTTTTGCATAAAATGGTTTAAATTCCGTTGTAAGAATTTTCAATATGCCTAAATCAAGGATTCGTTGCTCCATCTTTTTTCGCTTCTTCGTTTGTAGCATTGGTTTTCTCGTCTTTCTCGTTATCTGTAATAATAAAGTAATGTTAATACCCACTTAAACAATTATGAAAAAACTTTGAAAGTATTATCAAATTAACTTATTTACCTTTTGAATCTGATTTAATATCATCTTCTTTCTTCACATCTCCATCAGCATTATCTTGACCTTTTTCTAATCGAGGACGTTTTCTCGATCCCTATAAATATGAAAAAAATTGTAATAATTTCTTCTATTAATAGCAATCAAAAAATTAAGTTTCGCCAAAAATACTGATGTCGTACTTTAAATGATCGGTTATCTCGTCTGCCACCTTCGCCTTCATCTTCACTATCACTGTATTCATTTTCATGCTGTAACCTTTTGTCAATATCACGCTGAGGAAGTCGTTCATCTGGATTTATCTTTTCTTCAGCTTCTGAATCTTCGATGACAGCTCCGTCTTCTGGAATAGCTTGTACTTGAACTCCTGGTGCATGTGGAAGCATTCTGAGATTTTCAAATAGTCTCGTTCTGAAAAAATTGTATTTTGATATGTTAAAATTATATCATACTTATGCGGTAACTCAAACGCTTTCAATGTAATATTAACTTACTTTATTTTTTCTAAATACTCAGTAGTATTTTGATTGGCCATATTAGATGGACTAATGTGTAATTTGAAGTCCGGACCAAAATATTCAAAATAATCATTGTATGGAAGCTCATTTGCTATTTCTGTTCCAAGTGCTACGGAAGTTTCATATGTCCAGCAACGCGACACATTCCTAATTGTGTAACCACCGCCTCCAACCATCAAGAAAGGTAAATTATATTTTTTAACAAATTCGACGCATTTGCCATGTCCACGAACAGTAAGGTTGAAGCATCCTAATCTGTCACCTATTTATGCCAAGAAAATATTCTTATATTACTTATTGTACATAAAATCTACATTTTAATAATTTTTGTGACTTATGAGGTTATTTTACCAGTTAATGAATCAGCTCCACATTGTAATACAACAGCAGATGGTTGGAAAGTTTCCATAACTTTAGAAATGATTGGTACAAATATAGACTCATAACTCTCATCATCCATTCCATCTCTCAAAGGAATATTAACTGCATAATATTTCCCCTACAATGAGAAAATAAACAATGTTATTTTCTAATTACTTCACAAATAAACTTGCAAAGATATGTAGTAACTTACCTTTCCAGCACCAATATCTCTCAGATCTCCAGTTCCCGGGAAGTATTCTCCATATTTATGGAATGATACTGTCATCACTCTATCAGTTGTATAGAAGGCTTCTTCAACTCCATCACCATGGTGAACATCGATATCAATGTACAAAACTCGTTGATGATACTTAAGTAATTCTAGAATTCCTAGAACAATATCATTAACATAGCAAAACCCTGATGCCTCGCTCTTTTTGGCATGATGGAGTCCACCTCCCCAGTTTATACAAATCTCAGATGCTTGCTTATTTAGTTTCACAGCTGCTGCTACTGATCCACCAGCAGATAATTGACAAAACTCATAAAGACCATCAAACACAGGACAGTCTTCTCCTACATTAACTAAAATTTAAAAATTTATATTAATACATATGAAAAATCTCACTTGTAAGCAACTAAAATTAATTTTGTTTACATCTTTGCATCTGCTTGTTGTATTCAGTCATATTATCAGGCCTAATAGATCTTAAAAATCTAATATATTCATCGCTATGAAATTTTGTCATTTCATCAGCAGTAGCTTTGTGTGGACGCTACAAATATAAACAGTTTATTATTATATTTGCATGATCATAATTACTGAAATCAGCAATATAGGTTTATTTAGCTCACTTATGTCATTGCATAATAGAGTAGGGAATAAACTTACATAGATTTCCATCTTACGGTATAATCCATAATTTAGCAATAAATTATGTGTCATCCTTATGCGGTGTGGCTTCATAGGATGTCCTTGCCCATAATAGTAATTTCCAATGTCACCTATAAAAATTTATTACCATTATATAAAAGAAATTGCTAGTTGATCCTGTAGTTGCATCTGTTAAATTTTTAGAACTACCTAATACTTTGATTATTATTAATTTTATTTGGAAAAGAATTATTATTATTGATAACTTGAACTTTTAAAAAAATACAATTTGGCACTTATGAGCAGTAAAAATAAAATCATTCAATTACTGAAAAATAAATATTGTACTCAATTACTGTAAGCTAAGACATTGCATTTTATTTGACGTTTCAACAAACTTATTTTGAGGTCAAAATGGTTTAAAAACTGTTGAATTGAACTATTGTTACTAATGAGGTTGACAAATCTGGTCAACGAAATGTGAAATAAAATGCAATATATTAGCTTACAGTGATTTAGTAAAATATTTATTTTATACATAACTGTGGAAAATGGGAAGATAACATGTGATGCATTAAATAATTGATACTCAATATATGTTCACATCATTTAAATAAATACATTATTTTATTTACATTTAACAAAATTATAAAATTCAAAAGAAAAAGACTATTTTTAAAGTATCTAGATTGTTACAAATATAAAATAAACAAGTTTATTATAATATTCAAAATTACTTTAGGGAACGTTATTAAGAGTAAAAAGTCAACTAAATTGCATGTCTACAATTACTAGTACTTAGTCAATGGTCAACAAGCATTTTTTTCGATTAGTTTTTCACAAATTTTTTGAAGCGTTGAACGATTACAATAAAAAATATTGTTTTAACGAAAATAGCGTGAGAAATCCTCAAGTAGACTACTACCAAAGGCAGACATGATGGAAGTTAGCTTGGTTCTACGGTCGCATGAAAGTCGACCTAAAGACCTTTTGCCTTAAACCAAATAAAAGAGTACAAACTTGCCAAAACTCAAGTAAATCTACCAATCCAAATAGGTACAATTGAAAAACTACTTTTAAATAAAATTCTTGTACAATAATTTTCTTAAATTCGAATATCTGCTAGTAATAAACAAAAACCTCACAGTACAGCGACATGTGATCCAAAGCACGGATCCACAACGTTGATTTTATAAGAGAAAATTGATACTCACTGTCGTAGTAGTAGCAAACTCGCTTCCTGCTGTGTTGCATTTGTGACATGTTGATGAATGTTCAGTTAAGGGCACACTCGGATTAAATTGTTATACGCTAAGGCAAAAAAAGCGCGGAAAAAGAGAGAGTGGCACGACACTTTCCAAGCTTAAGCGTACACCTCTTCTCTGTTGACTGGACTTTGCGTCTCTGACGCTTCACGCTGGAACCACGGCGTCACTCTGATGCAGCTGTTGCGCCTGCGCATTAGTACGATTCGATTCTCCGCCCCTTCATTGATTAGTGTTCGTTGTTTGGATTGGTCTAGCTCAAGGAGAGAGGGTAACATGCACGGGGTACCCGGCACCGGCTCATTACGGCTGCCGCGATTTCTTATTCGCTGTGAACATGCGGACGGAGGGGATAGTAGCGCTGGCGTCGATTTTAACATTGGTTCTTATAAGAATTTCCAATTTTAACGCCGACGGCGACCACGAAACTAAATTCTTTTCAATAAGATTTAACACGGTTTCCCCAGCTTTTTGAGGGCGCCACAATATTTGCTCACAGCAATAGTAAATAAGTGAATACAAACGGCAATTAAGAACTATCGAATGACGTCACAATACATTGTAACATCAGAAATGCAAGTTTTTATAAAATTTCATTGGCGCCAATTACGTTTTTTCTACTTTAAAACAATATAAATTAATGTATAGAAATTTTATTGTGACTTGTTATTGTTACGCTGAGGCTTTTAGAATTAAAAACCGAAATCAAAAGTTGTATTCATATAAACATATATTGTTGAGACGAGCAACTAACGTCTGCATATACTTTATAAAAGGTATGTAAAAGATTTGCATATTTTCTTAATCATCGACTATTTTTGCTTTTAAATTGAAAACAATACATTGATCTGCATGCAATATATCTATATTTTTTATACGTGAGTAAAACATTCTTGAAGGTCATCTTGTTTATAGTTAAGTCCATTGTTTGTTAACTAAAAATCTTTGAAATTTAACAATAATTATTTCAGTAGTTGTTTCATTAATAGAGATACATAAATTTAGTCTAAAAAAAACTTATATTACTCAGATTCAGTAGGGTCTGTGCTATATCAAAGAGTCTAATAAATTCGGATATGATTTTAATATGGAAGGTATCATACAATAGATTTGTAAATTTATTTTAACTTTTTTTTTATTTATATATATCACCATGTTCTTTTGTTTTCTATAATATTTATTTTTCATAACATATTCAACATAAAATAATTTCTTTAATATACGGTATAGTAAGCCCAATTCTAAGTAGTTGTACAGACAAATTTACAATTATTCTTTTCTTTTATTAGAACTTTAAATATTCTACAATAAACATAAATTTTTTCAAAACTTGTTTAAAGTATTAAAATAATGATCAATATCTTGTCATAAATATATTTATGTAGATTCTTTGTTTAGAAGCTTCTGGCATAATGTTGCTCTATACACCTCCTATTTATAGATGAAATTGTACCATCATTTTACATACAAGATATTTATAATCTTCAAATTAAATCTCTACATACACTGTTTTTGTGATATATTTTTCTTTTCTTATGATTCATTTGAATCGTAGAAGCATTGGATACAGGTATTATAGATAACATTTGAATTAAAAATTAATGTAACTTTTCATGCGATTGAGTTTTTGAGTCCAATACTGTACTATAAGTGATAATGCCACTTTTGTCTGCACCCTATAACATGACTAGGTCAATGAAATTATGAAAACATGTAATCTTTTTTAACAGATCATTATAATGAAAAATATTTATCAGAAGGAATTAGTTTTACTCTGTTTTGAACCAAAAGTTTTTAAATATCAATTTTGTTCAATGCAATAGCATTTTCATTTATTATGGTTTGGCAGTATATAATTGTCATATTTTTGAATCAACAAATGATTTATTTAAATGTCATTACTGCATATATATTTGCAAAAACTTACATAAATTTTACTAAGGATCATCTTATTTAAGTTTATCACATATACAAATATTGAATTTAAAAACATCATTTGGATGACAGTATAAAAGTGCTTTCAATAAAATTGAAACTTCTTTACTCTAAAAGCAAATTAAACAATATTCAAAAAGAGCATATACCAAAATTACAAAGACATCTTTCTACAACATCAAGTGAAATACTTATTATTTGAGATTTTTTTTACTCAAGTTTTTTTTATTTAGATACACTTTTATCATTGAAGATTTGAAGTTTGCATTTATAATTAATTTTTTCAGCTTTAAAGAATTGCATATTATTTTAAATATTTAATAAAGTACCTTTCAAACAAATTCGCATCATTGAGATTATACTCGTTAATCTAGTCTTTATATTCTGGACATTATTGTAAGAAAGCCATGTAGTTGATTTGTTTGACTGGGGTCACCCTGCGTAGGCCAAAATATTTATATATATGTTTTTGTTAATATTATTTGAAATAATGGTGTTTTATCCATGATAAGTTCTACATTCTTCATTGTTTAAAGTCAAAGGACTTATTTTCATCACAGAATAAAAGAAATTATGATAATTTGCAATCATTTGCATTATTTAAATCTTATTTATTTAAAAATCTTTGACTACTACATCATTGCAAATTGTGTCATGATTTCTTAAAATCTTTTTTGCATTCCCATACACTTAATTGAGGTTAGCATTAGCATATAATATTTTTAGAATTGAATATCATGTTTTGATTGACATGTGCTAAAAAATAATATTACTATTTTATATTTTGATAAAGCATTAAAAATATTAAAATTTTTAGTTTTCATTGCTATTGCAGCAGCTAAATTGCTGTGAGCTTTAGACTTGGTTAGGAATTTTTTAACATTTTTGTTTATTTTGAGAAAATTAAATTTTCATAGAAAAAAGTGCTTCCAAATAAGTCTTCAGTTATTAAAAGGAATGGATAATAATCAAATCTGACTGATAATAATTTAGTATATATTTTGAAGCACCAAAAATTATTTTTTACGTTTTAACCAATTTCATCAAATTTACAAAGATACACATTAATGCAGCAAATTTTGCAATATTGTAGATTGATGTCGTTGAACATGTTTATTAGCAAGGTGCCTGTGTCTTGTTTTCTTTTTTGATAACTTTGTTATGATGGTAATTTGTCTCTTTTATGATTGCAGAGCTCAAATTATTTTCAATCGACTGAGATTGGATTTATCAGTAATGTACAATTAAAATATTCATATGTATAATGTATTTATCGATGAAAAATGTATTTGTCTCTGGCAGGAATCATAAATTTTCTGTTTAATTTGTTCACTTTACACATTTGATGATAGCTTAATACTAAGTATTGTTGAATAATTTCAAAAAGCACATAATGGACAATTTACTGGTGAAGCTTAAATGTTTTTGTATCGAACCTTTGGAAAAGGTATTGTAGCTGCAAGTAGATACAAAAAATTACTAAAATGATTTTTCGATGACATGAAGTTTCTTTGCAAATAAAAATTTATGTTAGCACTTTCTTCACATTCCCAAAAATACTTAGTATTTTGATGATTTTCTTAAGCGGTTAACACTGCTTGGTTAGAGTTGTACTGGAAATATTGGACAATTGCGTGACATTTTTTTGTGCAACTATTGAACATTAATTGTATTTTTTTTATCACTTTTCATTTTATTCTATTTATAATATATATCTTCTTTTTTTTTTGCCCATAGCTTAAAATTTACCTGGAACAATTATAAATCGCTTGTGTTTGAAAAACGAAAGCAAAAAAAATGAGCGGAAATTCGCACGTTTCGCACTTGAATAAATTCGTTTGACTAGCAAAAATTGCAAATGAGAAAAGAAAAATCGTGAAGTATTTCGATTTAGACAAATATTACCGCGGGAAGAAATACATTAACGATTTCTTTTTCACTGAGCAATATATAAATAATAAATTCCTCCTTCGAAAAAAGAATAATCTTTTTCAGTGTATACAATGCGACGTATAAAATCAAAACTACAAGATAGCAACAATAGAAAAAATAGAAAAAAATCGTCGTGAGAGTTACAGCGTATTAAGTTAAAATCTGTTTTTTTTTCCGGTTTACAGTATACACATCTCTTTCGTTATATTCGCATATACGTGTCGGACTACGTATATGCCTGCACTTAATAATGTGTTAGAACCGAGTATTTTTCATTTTTAATCAATTATCGGATGCGTTATAATCGTCGGTTCGACGTTCACAGCGAGAAAAACTTGAGGAAGGTCTGAGGGGGAATCGGAACGTGGAGCGACGCTCGATCGACGTCGGCGAGCTTCTCCTGGAAGGCCGGATCTTGATCTGCGATGCACGGGTGTCCGAGCGATCGCCAGAATAGACAACGGCAGTTTCGGCATAGTTGGATCATCTCCGCGTATTCCTCTCGCAAACCATACGATCTGCAAATCAATCGAATGTCAGCGTAATCAAGAGCCACATTGGACAGTCACGCTCGCTTCACCCCCACCAACCCAGTTCCGCATGCTATTTTTGCAACTGTTATCGATACTCTCAATTGAAATGTGCACTCGCGCGCATTAACGAACGGGCTGGATTGAAAGAGCCAATTTGGCGTGGCTATACCTGCGAGCAATAGTGAATATGGATTTCCAGTCTTTGTCAGGATTGTTGAGTCGGGCAGTGGCGATCTGCTGTGACGTGAAGTGATACTGAGCGAGTTCTCGCCAGATCCTCTGTTCCTGCGCCAGGACGGCAAGGTGTTCGCAAGCCGCGGACGAGGCCTCGATGTCGCGCGGATCGCTAAGTCGCAGCAAGATCTCGCGCCGACACTCGGCTGGCAAATCTGACCACTGTGGCTGTTGCTCCTCGTCGGGCTGAGTTATCGTGATGGAAGATGCGATCTGCAGTATTCGATCGAGCGCGGCTTTGTGTTTCTCCCAGAGTATCACCGAGCCCAATGGTCTACCACCCCAACAGCAACCGGCGCTGAAAGTTCGAACCCTCTCTATGAGTCGTCGCAGTCTGCCGGTTTGTTGTTGCGATAAGGACACTGCAAATCGACAAACAGTCTTAGCGCCCCATGTGCAGGTGTTTTAGGTCGAAAAATTATGACGATCACCTTCTAATGCGACCTCCTCGAGCATGTTAAACAGCACGCGTTGAGCGCAGCCGCTCAATCCTCCCATTCGATGGCTCACCAACAGGTCGAGCAGCCGTACAATATAGTTAAAGCGCCGGCAGTCGTGCACCGCCGATAAGAAGTCCAACCTCTTCAGAGCGTCGCTCAATCCGTTGAAGCCTGCGATCTGAACATTTTTTTTTCGGGATTCATTATTGGTATGGCTTTTTTTCTAAAGTACGTCGACGGTGTTAGAGCATTTTTTCTACTTCTAAAAATTGTGGAATTTTCAAGCGCTAATCAGTCAATATCGGATGCACAGCGGAAGGCTCACGAACCAATCATTCTTTACATATTTATCTTCAAAGTGAAGTATTGCTGAGAGGTTTTTACCATTAACACCGAATCATTCATAAGAAAAATACGATCCAAGCATGGATCTGGCCCTCAAAATAACAATGTCAATCATTGTGAACGTCTTCAAAGCTTGAAGTTTGTCGAGAGAGTTTGAAAGTAAAAATGATCAATACTCTTTTTATCCGCGTGAAAAAAGAAAAATCCGTTTAGTTCTCGATGAGAATCTCGTGTATCTCGCTTAGCTTAAATGCTAGATTGGAAAACCACGGAAAGTCAATATTCCAGCCGCAAATTGTGGGAAATATAATAGCTGTCATCGCGTGTTTTTCCTTGACACTCGGTGATTATCCCGGCGGCAGCATTTAAGAAAACGTCGTGTAACGAGGCGCCAAACTACAAATAGAATCTCGGTGCATCGTGACGATTGACGAGTTAGACGCTTGGCTTCAAGATGCTCGAGAATAGAAAGCCAAGTCTGAACTGATGGTTAAAGGACAATCTAAAAATATATTAGGCTCTGTGCGCGCACGTGTCGTAAGAGTCACTCACCTCGCGGGTGCACTTCAGCGTGATATGACAGTGTGGCTGGACGGCATCTTCTGCAAAAATAAAAATACGAGCAATCTCGAAATTAGTCTCGCTTTTTTTCGCGCGCGAGGAACGGGAGGCGCCCTCGAGGATAAACTTCCGCAATTTAGGCGGCAATTAACGCTCTTTTACTTCTTTATTTATTTATTTTTTCGCACACTTTTGAACTTCATCTTTTTTTTTCGTTTTTTTCGATTATGACTTTTTCTATCAGTGAAAAATTCTATTGCACAAGAATTTCTTAAATCCGATGTGATACTGAAATAATTTTTCCGTTTCAGAATGTTTTCTTTTTAAATTAAGTAAACAATGTTCAAATTGATAAACATATCAATTATCCATAATCAGTTTTCATCCATCAAAATCAAATCGAAAAATGTTCTCACAATATAAGGCTCGATTCATTTCCAGTTGAATTCAAAATCAGCGATCTAATTTTAATTTCACCTTTTTTCTTCTCCTTCTCCTTCTCCTTCTCTTTTTCCCTTTTGTCGTCATTAGTTTCCGTTCTGGAAAAAGAAACGAGGCAATTTCTTAGTCTCTGCATTCGTCTAAATCCGAAAGTGAATATTTTTACATTTCATCAGGATTAGAGTCTATATTCGATACTTTTGTGCTGTTCTCTCGTTTTTTTATGTAGTAGCGCCGCACACGTGCGTTTGGTTCCAAACTAAGAAACTAAAATTTTTGATGGCTAGCTGATTTTCGCAAACTCAGCCTCAAGAACATTTACGTTAATGCGCACTTGCATTGCATGCCCACGGCGTGTATAATCTCAAGCGACAAAGAAAGAAAACTTGCAAGTGAGTCACGCGAGTCACTGGCTCGCGCAAAGTGGCAATTTATTCCGCGACGAATAACGGGAATTCGTTTCGCTAGAATCGAACTGCGATCGGCGATTGTTTTCTCTCCGCGCTTACGACTGACATAGATTTCAGTCTTAATTTTAATAAATTACCACATAATCTCACCCAAGCGCTTCACCGTCAACTCCGATGCTCGTCGACGGACTTTTTCGCAAGCTTATATATTTACCTTTTTTTTGTTTTCTCGCAATAAAGATAAGGCGCATTTGCTCCACGAGTTTACCTCTCATTGAAGTAATTCTCGCTGCGCTTACTCACCGAGAAGGCTCTCGCAATCACGCGTGCATTGACCTCCTCTCTCGCGACTTATGCGCGTAGACGCGCACACTTATGTGGGCCCGACAACGTCTCGAGAGATTTTTGCGTGTCACGCGAGGAGGGTCCCGATGCAAAAGTGTTAGTTTCGCGACAGGGGACGTATTGATTGACCTACTGTCAGAGAGTACGCTGAGCAGCAGCAGCAGCAGCAGCAGCAACGGCAGTAGCAGCAGTGCTATTAGTTAAAATGAACAATTGCAGCAGCTGCAGCCAGAAGACCCGATTATAAAATGCCTGCCTTTTGTCTTTTGGAAAGTGGGCTTCTAAATCATTCGCCGTTCGTTTCTTTTCGCTCGGCGAAATCAACGTCTCCTTTCCAGATAGCGGCGCATCAGCGCTGTCGCTTGCGATCCTATCTAAGATTGAGATTTATCGCGGAGACTGACTCGTTAGGCTCCACGGCATTTTCAGACTGCGCGCCTTCCTTCCTCGTTATTACACGAGAGACTAAAATAACCGTTCCTTTGCTTTGTTACGCGTAATTTTTCCGGATGAGATACATTTGTTCGGGAACGCTTTACCGCGAGTAGTGTGCCTAAGCGTACGTGGAATCAAGAGACGCGAAAGTGCAACGGACTCTACGATACCCGAATGCAGCACACCGCGCGAAAAAGAAAGTACGGCGAAAGAGCGCTGCTGGAAAATCGGAAAGAAAAATTTTCGTTTCGCCTTACACGCCGACCACTGCTAGGTTTTTTTTTCTAAGCCACGAGCGAGAGATGGTGCAGAGAGAAATAATAAAAGTGAAGGATCGGGTCGCTACGTGGGCGAACGTGTCTATCATGTATGTCGGGATGATGGCCACGCGACTGTACGTGTGCGAGAGAATTAGCTGTATAGCGATTTCGTGATACTCGCTTGCTTTGTTCCTTTACGAGTCCTCGGACGTAGCGGATGGTTTGTAGTGAAATTTATTGAATGTTGCGCGGGCACAGCAAAGTGCGCTTTGTTCTGCAGCTTCGTGGAATTCATTGACGTTATTTTATCAATAAGTTGAAAATTAGAGAAGGTATTCGAATAGTCTAGCTTAACACGTTTAAGCTGTAGAGCATTCGTTGGCTTCAGGTTCAGCACTCAAATTGGAAATTTGCGGTTAAACTATGTAGTTTAAACGTCACCTACAATCGATGCCTCGGTTGTAAGTAATCTTTCCTCCCAATTCTATTATTTGAAGAGTGAGTTAGTTTAATGAATATAAGTTAGTTAGTTAGTTGTAAAAATAATGAAAAGAAAGCTGAAAAGCTTCCATTCATCGCATCATGCTTCAGCTTTTCCTTGACATATTAAATAGTGCACTTGACCCTCTATTGTCGAATGGCGTGTTGAAAGAAACTTTTAACAATTAAAGTTTAATTGTAGTTGAAGTCGCGCTTTCGTATTGATAATAAGTTTGTTCTGCTGTGTTTAACGGACGTCAACTAGGAGTTGACGTGTATACGCATTCGAGCGATTTGTATTTCTATGCACACTGATTATTCTGCATTAGCAAGACGAATGGAAATAAAAAGCCCAAACGTAGATTTATTTAAAAGAACGCTCATCTTTGACGTAAAATATTCAACTTTGAAGAAGTGTACTTTTCTGATGATATTTCTTATCGTATTCCAGGTAGATTATTCAATGTTAAACAAGTGTATTTTTCTATTTCGATTTTTTAAAAAGGAACGTATCATCTTCTTTGAATGCTGACGGTGGTTTAGAATTCGCTGGGATCGATTATATTGGAGGAAAACATATTAGTATACTTGAGCTCTAGTAAAGATACTATTAAATGATCAAAAAGTAGTACGGACGTTTTGTGTGGGGTAGCCTTCATTTTGAAAACTCGTTCAAGTGATTTAAGCCCTTTGGTCTGAAGATACGTGGACATAAGAGCTCAACGAGACGAACTTTTACAATCATAAATAAGAATACGTAATAACGATAATTGCCGCATTTTACAAACAGCTCAGTAATTAAAATGCAGAGTACATTGTTCAGTGCAGGGTCTCGCTCCCTTACATCGCTCTTCTTGTTTTCACAACGAAAGCGTCAATTTGAAAGCTTGTCCTTAAATAATCTATCTCAGCGCACATACGAAGCTCAAAAAGCTGAGCGGAAAATAGCATTGGATGAGGGCAGCAGCGCGACGTCAAAGTGCTCTCTCGCTCGCGAGCGCCCATCGACCAACTCCGTACTGCGCTACGTCTCGTCATTATCTCAAATTATTTACGTAACAATCCGCACGCGCCGCTTTACATAATTCCAGCCTCGGAATCACGTTACGAAAGGGAAACATACTTACTCGTCTGAACGCCACGCGCAGAGAGAAAAAAAAAGAGGGGAGGGGGGCTTTTGACGAGGAAGACCTTGCAGCCAGAAAATCCCTGGCGTTGCGTAAGCTTAACGATGGATCCGGAAGCAACACGGCGGACGAGGAAACGAAGGTGAATTACCCGCGTGTATCGTGACTCTTTCTTTGCATTCGTGGCATCGCGAGCGTCAAGGTTGTCGGAAAATTCACCCCTTAGGAATCCTTGGCTCGAGTGTTACGCAATAGGTCGCGAAAGTGTTCGTGAAAATTCTTCCTCCGAGTGCCAGATCCTCAGGCTGCGTCTCGTTTCTCGACTTTTTTTTCCTCGAATTTCACGCGCAAGCAATGTCAAAGTGCCGAATGTTGATAATCATGTGTTGACTTTTCTCACAATCTTGTAAATGCATGAAAAACCACGAGAAAGCACGTATTTTATAACGCTTCTAATCGAGTGTTATCGTCTTCGAACAACTTTTGTAATCTTTTTTTTTTTTTTTGTTTTCACCTACAGTAGTAAGAGTTAATTTCTAAACTGCACTCTAGTGGATACATTTTTCGAGCTTAATGCAAAAACTTCCTTTCAAATTATCAGCTGAAAATTGCTAGCTTAACCAACCGTTACTTTCACTAAAAGTTTCACGTTCGGGTGTTACTCTGTTTTTTCAACGTACGCGGTAGTAAACGAATCTCAATTTTGACGCTTGTAGTTAGTTATATTTTTCCCGAGTATGCCCAGTGCTTTTGTCGACAAAATGTTCAATCGCGTACACGTGCGTGCACTCGAGGTACGTATTGCGCTGCGGCGCAGCTCGACGCAAAAGCCACTGCTGCGAAAATATAGCAACAGCGAAAAAAGCCGGTGTAGTGCCGTCAAGGACGTTTCCACGCGAAGCTGCGCGCGAAAATCACCGCAATGGATCCGCGTTGCCGAGCCAATTTACATTATACCTCTTGCTTTCTGCAAATCGAGGGAGACACTCGAGGTTTTGCTCGACCACACTCATTCCGAATAATGACAAAAATGTATAGCGAATACTTTTTTTTCTTTCCTCGCCTTTTTGATCATTGCGAGCTTTTACATATGCCAAGGCATTTACGAATAGGTGTTGCAATTTATTCACCTTTCAGCTTCGTGAATCTTTTGTTGAAAAAGCATAGTTTCGCACTTTCACAAAGTCAAATTCTCGTAGAAAAGATAAAAATCGAATTTTTCAGACGGGTAATTTCTTACCGAGCGCAATAAACGAGTAATAAATCAAAGCGGGCCGACCATAGGCTCAATGGATATATCGCGATGCATTGAAACAGAAGCCGAGAAGAGCGACAAGATGGAAAAAAAAATAGAATGAGAAATGAGCGCAGTGGCGGTATAGCGCCGGTAGCGTGTGTTAAAGCTGGGTCGCGACCCACTTTTTCACTCGGGTCAACATCGCCGCTGATACCGCTGATACTCTCGAGCAGCAACCAACTCTCTAGGATTCACACAGCGTCTCCATCGGAAAGCCTCCCATTTCCAATTGCACACTTAATTTAAGGCAAACGAGCGACAAACGGACGTCTGTCTTTTCTGGAATATGTGACCGACCTGCGATGAAATCGTGCCACGGTCACGGATGGGCGTAGGGGAGGTAATCAAACACCCGGAGCCAATCGACCGACGGGGTAGAATTACGTCCTCGAAGCACCTGTAATCGGTAATTTCAAATTGGATTTTGCGAACAATGGCTAATCGCATAAATGATATATTATAACGGCGAGGGCGCTCGCAAATCGATAGCCCACATTTTGCAGAAAATAATTCAACGTCTATAATTAACTCCCTGCGTGTGCGTTGTTAAACGCGTGAAAGCGCGACAGCAGTTGCTCGGTTTTTTTTCACGCTTGCACGACGCGGGGACGATGCTCTTACGCGCGCGGATGAAAATTTCCTTCGGCGTGGCGAAAGCGCTGGATGCTAGAATAATTGGCTGCCGGTCGGTGGAAGGAAAAACGCTGGCAATTATTTTGGACCTTCCTTTTATACGCATTGCACGGTTGCAACTTCAATGCTGCCGGCGAGAACGGCGGAAACGAAAGCCGAACGATGATCCTGCGATCCGGCGCCGTGTCATTCGGTCGCGCCCTACACTGCCGCGTCCACCTCGAGCATGGCGTTTTACAACGGCTCTGAATAATTCAGTGCACCAGCGCCGCGCTCGCGAAAATTTCTTGCAACGGCGTGCAACAAGGCGGCGCCGCTCGCACACCTGGATAAGAAATTCGACGAGCGCATCGATCGTCGGCGGCCCGCGCGTATCGTGCGGCGCTCGCGCTCGCGATGCGGCAATTTTTAATTCGAAACGCTTCGGTCTATCGACATTTCCGTCCCGATTTTTTTCGCGCGAGCCCCAGCCAGCCGCTATGAGGAAAAATGTTCGGGCAGAAAAGTTTTTCTAATAAACAAGCCAAGAGTGTTTGAATCCCACTTATTATCCTAGGCATGACCGTATGAGGTTTCTTTTTGTTCCACACACACATATTTCGTTTCGACCAAACAATAGGTCGCGGAGCTTTCTCATCTAATTGAATTGTCCGGCTTGCGTAAACTTCGCCTGCGACGAAGGAAAGGCTTTGAAAAGTAATTGAAACGCGCGTTCACAGATCGTAATCATCACCTCATCGTTTCGTCACGATCGCACTTGCTCAACGTTTACCCAGCGCGAGTGGATTTTTCGACTAAAGTTCGAAAGGAAAAGGCCCGCTCAGCTGATGCGCTGAGAAACGCGCAGCGCAGCGACGGGCAAACAATTTATTGCGAGAGGGCGCGAAGGCGAGCTTTGTAGGCGCGAGCACTGCAATTGCATGACAGAGAGAAAACAGCTGTGCGACTGGAAGAGCGCCGTAGCCGCCGAGCAGAGCATCTTTCACTTTTTATTCCGGTACTTTCAACCGCCGCGCTCGCACACAGGTACTCTGACCGTGAGGGTTTTAAGTATCGACTTGTATCGTCATGTACATGTCATATCCAACTGGTTTTTTGGCTATATTATCTTGTGATAGATTTACTACATGTCAGTGGGAAAGAAACGTACGATGATCAAACTCTGGAAGCTTTCAATCCCTCGTATTTCGAAAAAGCAATCAATCACTCAGTTGCAGGCGACGAATTTCCATTAGATAAAACGCATCGCGTATGGAAGAAAATAAGTTATATAAAGAAAAAAAATCTATTTTTTTTTGTGCCACATATAACTCAATAGAACTTTCACTTCCGTTAGTGTTCCAGCGGCATATAAATTCATAACGAGAGTTTTGATTCATTAGACAGTTGCCTTTTTCATTTCCTCAATTTAGCAAATAGCATCATTCGTAATTATTATAAAAAGCTGCAGCGCGTTCGTTCAGATGTAAACAAAGAAGGAAGAATACGAAGAGCTCGCGCGCCCGATGGAACAGCTGCTTTCATATATACATAGCAAAACGCAGATGCACTTGCACACTGCCTTGTTCTGCGCGTATTTAGAGAGCCATCGAAAAAGAGGTTTTTTGGATTGCCTCTTTCTGCGTGGCAAATGGCGTCCGCAAGTAGTCGCAAGTTTCTTTGTCCCACGACACGGCATTGTTGCACTCTCTCTCTCTCTCTCTCTCTCTCTCCATGTATCAGCAACAGTTGCCGCAGCAGCAAAAAGTACGCAAAAGAGCAGCAGTCGCGTTGCCTTTGTAATGTTATCGAGCACGGATAAAGAACTGACCTGAGCAAAAGTGACAGCGTCTTGTTGTTGGCGCACTCGAGGATTTTCTTCTTTTCCCAACCTTCGACAGTCTTTACCCACTCCTCACCTGGACTCCTCCAATCTTTCGATATGAACGGCATCACGCGCGAGTGTTGTCGCTGCTGCTGCTGCTGCTGCTGTTTCTGCTGTTGCTGCTGCTGCTGCCGCTGCTGCTGCTGCTGCTGCTGCTGCTGCTGCCGCTGCTGCCGCTGTTGCTGCCGCTGCTGCTGCTGCTGTCGACTTGCCCGCCCCGCGCGCACGCAACAACAAAACAACGGGGCGCCGCGACTCTGCGATGTATGTATTACACACAGACGAACAGAGACGCACGGCACTGCAGCTCGCTGCGATCGAGCAACTTCTTCTTGCCTATACGATGCGTGTGCTGGCTGGAGAGAGGGAAACTTCTCTCTCTGCGCTTTGTGCTTGTGTGAGTGTATGTGTGTGTGTGTGTGTGTTTCGATGGACGGCTACGGCGCGCATCGACCGCGCAGCATGGCTTTGTTTCCGTGACGTCACAACGGAATATTAGTCTCGCTCCTTCTCTCTCTTCTGCATCAGCTGTGCAGATAACAACTGCTATCCATATGAGTTTATTCTCCAGTGGCACACGTGGCGCCATCGTTACTTCCATTTTGGAGTACTAGATTGTCGACTGACGGTCTTCAAGCTGGATTCACATATCTTTTCTGGTTTGTGTCTTGAATGCGAATTGTGCCGAATTGAACACGAAAAGGCATTTATTCGAAATGCCGATGCAAATGTCGATTAGGATTCATTGCAAAACGGAATTCGTTTTGATTCTAACCACAACGAGCCTCGTTTACATCACCTTGCTGGTTTGTGTTGCGAATGCTCGCATAATTTTTAAGTAGAAGCAGCCACGAATAGTCAGACACAGCGGTCGCATTTGGAGTTTGAAAACTTGATTTTACAATGAAAGTGCAGTGTAACTTTCAACTTGGAATATACCCAATGATATCTTTTAAATCGAAATGCTTTTCTCAAATTGAATGTATATTATAGAAAAAACGGATTTCTGAATTTTCGGAATGATGATCAGAAGAAATTCGAACGTTAAACCATTATCCAATAACTTCAGAGCATTTTGATACAAAGTCATGTCACTAAGTAAGTTTTTCAACATAAACAATAACAATGAATTACAACTAAAAACTTAAAATTGGGCAACGTCTAAATGTAGCATGGGCTTATGGCCCATGTGTTTTATATTGGTTGTTGTCATCATGTCTGCAAAATTAGAAAAGGAAAGGTTAGATGCTTGGCTATTTGTTTGCAATAACCTCAAAATTGTATTACTATTGACCGGCTGAATTAAAAATCAGTGTATTCGCTACAAGTAAATCCAACGACAAAATGAACATCGGAACGGTGCTGTTCGATAAAGGCACGTCTAGTAAACGTTGCTGGACCAACGACGACTTGATAATTTTAAGCAGTCGACAGATGTTTCAGGATCTATTGCCTGCGGTATTTTCAAAAAAACGTTCGACGTCGATCGATCGCATCAACGATCGTTAATTTTTCAGATGCAAACACCAAACATACAAAGCGACAAATACTTGGCAGATCTATTGAATTACTTCAAGCTGTGCCTCGAATACGTGAGCAACATGTCGACGGGCAAGACTAAGCATCTGATGTTAAAGTCGCTCGCGGATGTAATGGGCGGTTACCTGCATTCGTACGTGGTGCCGATCACGAAGGTCTCGTATTATGCTGGAAGCATCGAGTACTGCAATGCCGAGAAGGTTTTCCAACTTTTAGCCGAGTTGAAACAGTTTTTGAGCAGCGATGGTACTGGCTGGAGGAAACCTATAGAATTGGAAATGTTCATCAATGTTACTCCCGTTGCTATCAATTACGAGGATGCGTCCGTGGCTTGCAGTAGGCTCATTTTTAATCCTGCAAGTAAAAGTTTGTTATTGAACTTGATATTGTTTAATGGGAGCTGGTATTATTTATGAGGCTAATTTCGATGTCGATGAAACAGTCGCGACTAGGCAGACTGCTGAAGCACATCGTGGTCGCATTAAAGTCAAAGCAAACGTCGAGACAAACGTCGAAAGTGACCAAGGTATGCTATGGAAAATTTCTAGTGAAAAGTCAAGTTTAAGCTTGTGAATTGTAGGCGATGCGGATGTATTGGGAACTGCACATATGTACTTACCGTATTTCGACAGTAATGTCAGACCAAATAGGTAATCAACGTCAAATAAACAAAGTTGTATCTTTATCCAACTTCTGACGCACATATTCTGTAGCATAGCTGTACCCTTCAAAAATCATAATCTCTGGTCGCTCTACGAGGAAGAATCCGTCGCAATATTATTCATATATTACGCGACTAATGTCAATTGTATCTCATCGAACAAAGAAATTCTCGCCAACTTCAACAAGGATTTTTATAAATGGTTACTAGAATCCGTACGTGGTGAGATTTAACATCTCTATCTCTCTCCCTCTTCTTCTTTTTTTTCACTCAAAAAGGTAAACTGATATAAATTTTGCACGCGCGCGCAAAAAAATAAAGGTCTACCCTCGTTTAAACGATGATAAATGGTATCCGGCTTTCGGCGGAGTATTAAGAATCATAGCGTTCCTCCGAGATGCAGGTGACTGAACTATTAAGTTCTAATACATGCTGCGAGCAAGTAATGCAATATTTTGTTATTATTAATCGTTTGAATAATAGTTGAAGGTGTGCCAAAGAAGAGTAATGGTATGAAAACGAAAAGCAAAACATCGGACACTCTTACGGGTAGGAATAACGAACACTAAAATTCAAAAAGAATATTATAATAAAATGGCAATTAATTGATTATTAGCAGGTGCGGGTGTATTAGATTCACTATCGACAGTTGAGTTAGTTGTTATAGCAATATCAAGTGCAGCATTTGTATGGATATTGGTTGGACTGAGTCTGGTATGTTACCGACACTTCCGTAAACATCCAGAGGAATGTTCACCTTGCGATTCCCCGAGATCCGAGTGCGTTTATCAATTTTGTTCGCGAGCGTACTGCCAAGTGTCACGTTTGATTCATTCTTTGTAGCTTCGCGATGCTCTACAAAAACGAAGATTACTGCGAATTCGATACAGGTTGCTCGACAAATTCACGCAAAAGTATCGCTTCGAAAGTTAAAGAATGGTGGAGACAGAAATTCAAAACTTGTCCTGGTGGATGTGATAAAATGTTGACGACAGAAACGTGCGTAGCTTCCGGGAATTATTACAGTAAAGACTCGCTGTGCTCTAATGCACGTAGATCATACAAGTATGTATTCTAAAACTATTTTATAACGAGAGTTATTAAATATGCTTCGTTTCGTTACGACAGAAGGCGAAAAAAGAGATTCAAATCGGTATCAGCCTCCCCCTCGCCAAGCAGTTCTCCCTGCGCCTATTACACAAACAAAGTATTCATCGAATTTTCTCATTATTTTCTGCCGTTTGAGCGAATACATCATTTTCATGGCGAACTTTCTTGTTTTGCAGAGATACCATTACAGTTCTGACATGTCTAGCAGCAGCTCTGAAAGTTCATTCAGATAATAGTAGGAAACACTTAAATCTTCTCGTGTAGCTTCTTTTTGACAATGAGATGTGATTATAATTTAGGAAGGATAGACTTGCTTTTAGTGACATGCGATTAATCTTATTGTGAAGAATGTACATATAGTTTATATGAATATTTACAAAGTCAGTGTCATTTCTAATTCGAAGAAATATACATACTTATTGGAAATATATCCAACTTAATTGATTATACTCGCTTACGCAATAAACTTGTAGAACGTACAATTGACCATTTCAAACAAAACATCAAGAAGATAGTAAGCATGTCGCCTTGACAATTGCTGTTAATTTTGTCAAGCAATCGGAGTCAACATGCAAATGACGGCAGTTTAAATACAATAAGAAGCCGCCAGCCGTGTGGCGCACGAGGGAGGGGTGCCGCAGTTGGAGTTTGTCGCACATAAGTATCGTTCCATTGGATAACAACTTATACGAGGGAGGCAAAGTGAAAAAAAAAGTCCCGTCGCGCCTCGTTTCTTTCCCATTAGCCACTTTATTATCTCCTTGCCCTCGCGCCCTCTCTCTCTCTCTCTCTCTCTCTCTCTCTCTCTCTCTTGCAGAGATTTTATTTATCGTACTTCGCCGTTTGGCATTGGCTTCGTTAAGGCTTTCATCGAAACGATCTTTCATTTGATGCGTCGGCCGAGCGTCGTTCGCACGAAAAGCTCGAAAAGACGATGCGTCTGTCGACATTCGCACGCTTTCCCCGTCGAGAAGACGCTCCTTGCAACGCGTCAACTCCTAATGAAGTGGAAGCCCATTAGAAACCGACGAAAAACCGGCGTCAGATGGCCTCCGAAAAGCAGCAAACAAAGCTCGGGCCCGAGGAGAAGGACGGCCGAGAGCGAGATAAACAGCAGTCGCGCGAACAAAAGCGTTTAAAGGTACGTGGCACATCGCGCATCCCCCATCATTTGGCCTTCGTTAATGGCTCCAAGGGACTTCTGGCGTGCTACTTGATCGGCGCTCGCGTGCGCTGCAGCGGCGGTAGAGCAGCACATCTCTAAATCCGTCGTCGCGTCACGTATACAAGCACACACGTACCGGCAGCGAGAGAACGCAGTTATATACGGCTGCAACTTGTTGCAAGAGCAGTGCCATCTACAGTGCTACGCGAGTCTACTCCCCTCTCCCTTTGCATGGTGCGCCCACTGCGCAGGCAGGCGGGCAGGCAGGCGGCAGCAGCCCCCTCAAGCCCAGGTATTAGGGAAGGAGAGCGAGAGAGAGAGAGAGATAGAGAGAGAGAGGCTGAACTCGCGTGGCGCGCGAACTTCGCTCCCCAGTGTCGCGCGATACGTCGACGCATACGTATCTTCACCGCTGTCTCTTCGACGGACCTTCGGATATTCCGCACGGGTGTCCGGATTTTCCATAATCATCCTGATCATTAGTACTGTGCACGTATTTCGCGCGAGACATCGGTTCCTCTCCTCTCCTTCGCTCTCGTGTGCGCGTGCCGCGCGAGTGTTGCGAGTGGTCCAACGCCATTTTCTTTCGTTTCTTTTTTTCATTACTTTCGACTTCTGATTTGTCGATCACGAGCGCTGATCGAAGGACATTTCAATAACGCGCGAGTTGGTTACGACCGTCGACTGGTGAGAGAGCGCGTGGGTGAGCGCAAGCCGGTCTTTTGATTTTTTCTTTTGTTTTTAGCACGAACAGGCCGGCAGGTCCCACGTGACTCACGACTGCTAAACAGGTGTTCGTATACCGTCATTGTTTTTTTCCCAACCCGTTCTTCCCTCCAGGAGAGATCTCACCGTTATACGAGCAAAATGTCCCAGCGTAATAACTGCATTTGCACGTGACTCGAAGCCGAATACAGTGTCTTGTGTCTCGCGCTCACTCGATCGTTTTCGATATTTTACCCAAGTGCGCGTGTGACTGAATGCAGCAGTAGAGACACATCGGTTCTGCTTTTCTTCACCCCGCACGAGGTGTAAAATCTCCGCGGCGAAGATGATTCCCAGAAAACATCGTCCCTGCCTGCTTGCCGTCGTCGTCGTCGTCGCTCTACTTGCAGCCTCAACTTGCAAAGGTTGGTTTTTTCTCCTTCCACGAAAACGTGTTGTTTTTGCAATTCAAATCGACTCGAGAACTCGCGTTTACTTTCACTTTTATGTCGCACGCCACGAGCAAATTCCGTGACTTTGCTTGTTTGATCTTTTGTGCTCTGTTGATCGTGTGGGTGGCGTTATTATCTCTCGCGTCATTGATGCGTGTGAGATGCCATGTAGCGCTTTTGTATTTATATGAGAAACGTAGACAAGTGAATTACGTATTGCGCGAACGCGTTTCTATCCTGCATACCTCGCCGTTTCAACCGTTGATCAATGGCGTCTGTGTTTATCATCGCAAAGGAAAAAGTTATTGTCATGAGAATCTATTTATAGAACGAGTGACTTGTGATGGAATAAATCATTCTTTTACGAATAAGAATGCTAGCGTTTTGTATTAAATTGTTTTGAAATGGAGTCCACTAATATGATCGATACTTTGTCGATAGTCGGAGAGTATAGCTGTACATGCATCGCTATTAGTTATCAATGATCATTGAGATAATAGACTATGGCGAATAGTCCGCACTGCGTTTTCAATGCAGATCAGTTATGAAAATAAAAATTAGAAATAAAACCATTCTGACCTTTTATCACTTCAAATAAATTCAAGAAAAAAATAGCGAACTTATTTCAAGTGGTAAAAGGTCGTAATGGTCAGACATGAAATAGTTGGGATAACTATTTAAATAGCAACTTAGTACATGTGGAGGATAACAAGCTCACGCCAGCTCGAAAAATTATCACAATTTAGAAGCGAGAATAATGTAAGAAACAAACGTGGTATATACCGGATGCTGCACTTTTCAAGTACTTTACCCACGGAGCACGGAGAAATTCTCGACGAACCAATTCGGAGCTGAGCACTCGAGGTGAATAATAAGCCGAGCGTCACTTAGGCTCACGCTTCATACTACAGCTGCTGACAGTTATTACCCTCTCATTCTCTCTCGCACTTTTTCTGCCCCGTGAATTTTCTCACTCACGCGTAAAGTAGCTATGACATTTATGCCGTACGATCGTTGCTCTCAAACTCCTTTGTTTGTACAACTCTTGAGAATTGATTTGATAAACAGCAACTCAGCGATACGCTCGCGAAGCTTTTCTTCGTAGCTTTTTATCATCGTTAATATCGTTTGTGTTTACTTTTGGCCTCACAAGGAACATTTTTTTCAACGCCAATAAGCTTTTACGAGGGCATCTCTCGTATTCGTTGACCTTGCTGAACGAAAAAAGGAAAATAGTTTACGTGAGCTTTAATCAAGCGATAAAGAAAATTATGGAAGCAACAAAAATAACGGTACGAAGGTGAGGGGAGTATGTGGCATTGCGATTTGCGGGCCACGATATTTGCACGGTCATTATTCTCCCATCTATCGCTGGCACATTTCAGCCCAGGATAAGTCAATATTTTACCAATAACAATAGCGAAACAGTCGCTCAATCGATCCCACACGTCCCCGTATCCGAGAAAGCATTTGAAATTGTTCTCCTCCCTGCTTGCACATACACCACTGTCACCACGCTCTCTCTCTCTCTCTCTCTCTCTCTCTCTCTCTCTCTCTCTCTCTCTCTCTCTCTCTCTCTCTCTCTCTCTCTCTCTCTCTCTCTCTCTCTCTCTTTCTCTCGGTGTTGACTTCACATGACAAATCACCTCTTCAAAGACAACATTGAATCCATCACGATCAACCTTCCTTCGTTTTTATATTACATAATGTGTATATATATCAAGGCTTGGATAAGAAGAAAAAGAATGTTCAATTTTTTCTCTTGAGTGAAGGATTACAAGCTACGAATCTTAGCGACTGCGGCGGAAAGTTTTTGATTCATGTCGATTAAAAAAGAAGGAAAAGTCGCCCGCCGAGGAGTTTTCTCAATTATTACTTTTGTTTCCGCTTCGGAAGTAAATTTACGACTTTGCGCGTAAGGAGGCAATATTCCAATGACACTTTTTTTTCGCAGCTTATGCGAATGCGACATGCTTGATGAGCCAGACTGAAAGAGAGAGGGAGAGAGAGAGAGAGAGAGAGAGAGAGAGAGAGAGAGAGAGAGAGAGAGAGAGAGAGAGAGAGAGAAATATGGCTGATGAATGGCCCATTAAACTGTTCCTTTTCGCGCGGGTAAAGAAAAAGCGTTGGGAGGGAGGTCTACCCGAAAGTTTTATTCGGAATTGCCATTGCGGACCAAACTCGATCAAATTCCGTGCAACTTTGCAGTCCACTGAGGTCACTAGTTAAAGTATCCTTCGTAGGATGATGCATGTAGCTTTAACACATTTTATGTTGTAGAATGAGAAATTGCAGTGAATGATCCCATTTCTTTATATAAAAAAAGAGAGAGATAGAATGTCTATCTGCGTATAATAAAACTTTCCATTGCATATGTGAAATATCAGGAGTAAAAACAATTATTAACATTCAAGCATTGACTTTGTTTAAAAACGCGAATACCAAAAGTTAATCAAAGCTTGTCAAATCGCTGTCTATAAAGATGACTTCTGCAGTCGCTTGCCTATCGGTGCACATTTTGAGCGTCAGCCATCAATCGCGACCGTAAAAAAGCAATGAAGACTCGCGCAACAATCCATAAATCACAGCAACTGTCTCGAAACGAAGAATAAATCAAGTACCGCGGCAGAGCGCTGCATCGAAAAGGATTTTAATCGTCTTCGCAACGCGTCGACGTCCATTGACTTGTAAATAACGCGCATTAAGAGGTCACAAATGGCGGTATAGCAACGGAGTGACGCGCGGTCGCTTTAGGCGACGAATGGCCTGGATCAAAGTTTCGTAGATGCCGCTGTCCAGACTCGTTCATCACCCTATCGCACGTTGCCGGCTCCTGTGGACAAGATAAACGTACCTCGTTTCGTTTTCCTGGAGAAAACAATGCAGGCGAACGATCATCAATTTAACATACATTGAATCAATTGCGCTTACGAGTAAATGACGAGTTAACGACCTTCAACTGTAGTCATCAGCTAAAATGACCAATGCTCGTATGTTCAATCGTTGCAAAGTGTTCACTTCCGATCGATACTATCTTAGTTTGTTAAATTGGAAGTTGACTGGATTGGCAACGTCATAAAGTGTACGCGAGGCATTGAGACGACGTTAGTCGAGAGATGTGCGTTCGCGATACAGGACTTTAACATCATTATTATGTACCGCTTGCGCTTGAAGGCCACACGCGAGGAGAATGTTGTCCCTGCACGGCTGGCAACCTTCGTTGACAAACTTTAAGAGAACATCAATGCTTTCTCGCGCAGTCTTAGGATGAAGAAAATTAAATCCGTTGTCGCGTTGCGCCCTCGCTTTGGTAACGAGTCCTTCCGATCGGGACTCGTTGATAGGCAGCGTGCGGACGAGGGGCATTGCACGAATGAGGCGCATAAAACACGACGCGAAATTATACGGTAGTAAACGCTCGCGCCACTCTACTCTCATCCGCAGGTAGCACTTACGGCATTTCTCCTCCTTCGTCTTCCTGGCCCTTTTATCGCCAGTTAACATGTTCGCCTTTAATCGGCCAGCTATGCGTTTGTTTACTAAGCTGATTTACCGACTGACAAGTGCGGATGTGAACTTGTTATTGATGCGAGCGAGTTTTAATTTATTGACCGACGAGGATTTTTTTTTTTTTTTTGAACGGTGGTTTACGCGAGAGGGATGAGACTGGCGGAATAGTAGAAATTGCCTTTTATTTGATATCGCCGATAAAATGGTTTGTTATGCATGCAGATATTTACCATGTGACTTTTTCGATTCTCTCTGTATACTTTTATGTATTTCAACGTCGTTTGGACCCTTCCATCAACCAACGCGTCGCTCCATTCATCCTCTCGTAACAATGGAAAGCTCTCGACGAGCTTATACCCCTTGCCACTTTGTCTCGCTGAATTCAATAATCTTTTTTGCGCATATTGCGAGTAGCTCCATAGGCTCGATGCCGGAAGTTTGCAATATAGAAAAAATCTTGTAAGTAGATCATTTTTTTTTTCTTTTCAAGGCATTCTTGTGTATTTAAGTTGTTTTATCACCGTAACGGAAACATGCAGTTCGTAATGAGCTCTCGGACTTTACCAAGCCTTGTTGCATTGAAATTTTTGCCAGATTCATGAGTAATGAGAAAATTGGCAGGGGATATTGTTTTATGTACAACTTTTTCTGAATCAGAGTTTTGACAAGTTGCGCTTTGCAGAAAAAAAAGACAGAGCGAAAATAACACAAAAGCTTTTTTGAAAAAATAATAATTGAAGGGAACAATAGAGCCTAGATATGAAATTTCCGTGCAACAAAGCCGCGTAATTCTCGTCGATTCGTTCAATTTTTTTTTTTTTTTTTTTTTTGCCCGGGGCGGAGGCGTCGATATTTCCGCGCGCGGGATTATAGACGTTATCGGTCAAATCCAGATAGAGCCCAGAGAGCTGGCCCACGCCATCGCGGAAGGCCTCGCTCTTCTGGTTCGTTCGCGGGACTTCCGTCCGCGTATAGCCGTGGCAGTTCTAAATCCGCAATGAAGAATAACGAGAAAACGGGCGACGGTAAACGGATGAAAAATAAAAGCGAGGCGCGCCTCGCTCTTCGCTTTTTCTTTTTTCTCTTTCGCGGCTGTCTGCCCTCGCGCGACTCACTTTTTGACATTCTTTAATCTTGCAAAAGCGGTTCCCGTCCCGAACTGCGTGCCCGCGCGTGCGGCGCGTGGATGTATTTCGAGATATACGCAGCTGTGCTTGTCGCGGGTTACTACGCGAGCATGGTTTTTTGAATATCGAACGGCCCCGAGTTAAGCCTTCGCGTTACAGTATCGAAGTTTCGACAAAGGAAGAAAAAACGTGAAAAAATAAATTTATAAGCTTCCAGAAGTTGCAATGAAATATCGTCAACGGTAAATATAATAACGAGCGACTAGCTTACCTTCGTGAAAGTGCAAGTAAACCGCAGAGCAAAGCACTCTATAGAATCTTTTCAGCGTCTATCGG